ACCCGGATGCACCAGACATCCCGACTCCGCGCTCTTACGCAGAGGCGATAGAGGGTCCCTACTCCTCTCAGTGGCAGGCAGCCATGGACGCAGAGATGGCTTCCTGGAAGTCCACAGGCACCTACGTTGACGAGGTTCCCCCTCCTGGGGCGAACATCGTCGATGGCATGTGGATTTTCAGGGTGAAGCGGCCGCCAGGTTCTCCACCTGTCTTCAAGGCTCGTTACGTTGCTAGAGGCTTCAGTCAGCGTCAGGGGGTTGACTTCTTCCAGACCTTCTCCCCCACCCCGAAGATGACCACTCTTCGGGTTCTGCTACACGTTGCTGCTCAGCGTGACTACGAGCTTCACTCTCTTGACTTCAGCACAGCGTTCCTGCAGGGCAGCCTGCACGAGGAGATCTGGCTGCGCCGCCCACCTGGCTTTACTGGGTCGTTTCCTCCTGGTACCCAGTGGAGCCTCCGCCGGCCAGTCTACGGTCTCCGCCAGGCGCCACGTGAGTGGCACGACACACTGAGGACTACACTTGCAGCTCTTGGGTTCGCGCCGTCTACTGCTGACCCGTCGCTGTTTCTGCGCACAGACACGTCGCTACCGCCGTTCTACATTCTCGTGTACGTCGACGACTTGGTCTTTGCTACTGCTGACACTGAGGCACTCGCTCGTGTGAAGTCGGAGCTGCAGAAGAGACACACCTGCACTGACCTGGGTGAACTGCGCAGCTACCTTGGCTTGCAGATCACCCGGGACAGAGCTCGCCGCACCATCACCCTGACTCAGTCACACATGGTGCAGCAGGTCCTTCAGCGCTTCGGCTTCCAGTTCTCCTCACCACAGGCCACACCTCTGGCTACCAGCCACTCGCTCTCAGCTCCACCTTCGGACGAGTCCGTAGAGCCGAGTGGCCCGTACCCAGAGCTTGTAGGCTGCCTCATGTACCTGATGACTTGCACGCGACCTGACCTCGCGTACCCACTTAGCATCCTTGCTCGTTACGTTGCGCCTGGGAGACACAGGCGAGAGCACTGGGAGGCTGCTAAGAGGGTGCTGCGTTACTTGTGCAGTACATCAGGCATGGGGCTGGTGCTTGGAGGACGCGACAGAGTTGTCCTCACTGGTCACTCGGACGCTTCTTGGGTGGACGACCTGGCTACGCAGCGGTCGTCACAGGGTTACACCTTCAGCCTTGGCTCTGGCTCTGTCTCGTGGCGGTCCACCCGCTCTTCTTCTGTTCTCGGCTCTAGTTGTGAGGCTGAGATCTACGCCACAGCCATGGCTGCACAGGAGTTACGCTGGCTCACCTACCTGCTGACTGACTTGGGAGAGCGGCCTAGTTCTCCTCCAGTTCTGTACGGTGACAACAAGGCGGCTCTTGCCTTGTGTCAGGAGCACAGACTGGAGCACAGGACGAAGCACATTGCTCTTCGCTACTTTCTTGCTCGAGAGCTTCAGCAGCGCGGTCAGCTTCGGCTTGTGTACGTGGACTCGAAGGCCAACACTGCTGATATCTTCACCAAGGCGCTCCCGCCTAGTGATCATCAGTGGCACTGTACTTCTTTAGGCCTTGTGTCCACGTTTCCTCACTTGCTCACTGCTTGACATTCTTTGTACTGTACTTTATATATATCCTGTTGCTTGCTTGCTAGGTTTTGATCACTGTGTTGCTTGTCTTGTACTATCTCTAGCACTGCATGTGAACTGGCCTTGTGGCCTTTGCTTGTGCTCGGAGTGTGGTGACGTTGTGATCCACCCTGGGCTTGCGTTGCTTTGCTGGACTGGTCTTGTGACCCTTTGTTCTCCCCCACTTTGCCTATGGGGGTGTGTTAAATTGTAATGTGTTATATGTTGGTAGGCTGTAGTGGGGTAGCCAATATGGGGTACAACCCCAACTAGGGTTTGCTACTTGTACCCAACTGTTTCATTCAATGCATTCATTCTTGCCTAGTTCTTCTGACACATGGATGGTTTCCATCGCCAGGACAATGTTGGTTTCAGTTGGGACTGGGTTTCATTACTAGCTGCGCTCCATCCCGAAGTCATTGCGTTAGTTGTGTGTGAGTGTCGTTGCCATTCAAAATTGTACATAGTATGTTCCAAACGTTCCCTGTTCACAATGCGACTCATCTGGGGTGAAGATAAAAAATGCACAGCATTTCCAACTTTCAGAAGTGTTCATGAAAAAACTTCTGCTTTCAAGTGGACCCAAACTTGTGATAGCATGCAAGTCGCTTCACACGCATGCTTTGATTTCCTTGTCGGGTGCAATCGAACAAGTGGGATGTGCATGATGGCGAAAACCAATCCCAATCTCATTGCCCTTTTTCAGGGAAAACATTGAATGCGATTTAAAAGTGTCTGTAAACAACCGTAGTGAAGTCATATTCAAATCCATATCGAGTTGCACTCTACCAACCATTTGTGCCGTAACTAGGTCACTGAGAACGGTTCCTTTCCTGGATTTTGGTGGGCCTCCAAACCAAACCAGCCTTAATTGATCAAGAAATGCTCAAGGACCTCCATTTACGGTACATCAATAGCCAAGGATGAACCACCCATACTAACGCATAATGTTTGATTTTTTTTTTTTTTTTAGCCCATCTTCGGGTAACTTCCTTCCCTGGGGGACGGCTCTCGGGCCACACGGGGACCCTCAGTCCCCTTCCCCCCTTAAGGGACGGCTCTCAGGCCACACGGGGACCCTCGGTCCCCTTCCCCCCCTGGGGGACGGCTCTCAGGCCACACGGGGACCCTCGGTCCCCTTCCCCCCCTGGGGGACGGCTCTCAGGCCACACGGGGACCCTCGGTCCCCTTCCCCCCCTGGGGGACGGCTCTCAGGCCACACGGGGACCCTCGGTCCCCTTCCCCCCCTGGGGGACGGCTCTCAGGCCACACGGGGACCCTCGGTCCCCTTCCCCCCCTGGGGGACGGCTCTCAGGCCACACGGGGTCTCTCGGTCCCGTCTTTTCATTCAGAGACGTCCTCGAATGCGCGTGCAGTTGATCGTGTAGTCAATGCCATTGTCCCGCACGACTAGTAATTGATAACTGTCTGTCCGCAACCGTGGTGTTGAGACTTATTTTCTGCCACCAAGGGATGGAAGGAGCATAGAGATTAAAAGAAAATAAACGAAGAGGAAATAACAGAAAGGAAACTAATAAAAAAAAAAAAAAGACTTGCAGCACTTAGGCGACAAATGATGCCCAGTCGAACGACTTAGGTGTTGAAGTGGCACTTTAGTCACTGTCGCGCCAGCGGCCATTCCGTCCCTGAAGCGCCAGTGCCGATTTCGCCACTGGCGCACGTGGCAATTTCGCCACATGCGAGCGTGTGGCGATTTCGCCCTGGCGCGCGCCACTTGCGCCAGTGGCGATTTCGTCCCAATCGCGCGCCACTGGCGCCAGTGGCGATTCCGTCCCCATCGCCCGCCACTGGCGCCAGTGGCGATTTCGTCCCAATCGCCCGCCACTGGCGCCAGTGGCGATTTCGTCCCAATCGCGCGCCACTGGCGCCCGTGGCGATTTCGTCCCTAACGCTCGCCACTGGCGCCAGTGGCGATTCCGTCACCAGTGCGTGCCACTGGCGATTTCGTCTCTGGCGCGCATGTTGTCGTTTCGTCCGGAGCACTTCGCTCTCAGTTGAGCGCCCGCCAATGACAGTCGCACGCGTGATACCGTGGTGTTGCCCTTCATGAAAAAAATCGAGCGCATAGGTTGTACTTGTGAGTCTTAGCTTAACAGGTAGTTCTAGTGACAAAGAAACATTCGAAGTGGTTGGACGAGAATGGAGTGGAACTGCAAAGTTCCGAAATGAAGTCGTGGGTGGAGGCCGAATGGCCTCCAACCCTCGTTATATACTCGGCGAACTGTAATTCGCCATTGTTTTGCTTCGTTACAGGCCGCTGCGCTTTCACAATACGCATTTTTAGAAAGTGTTACACACTTTCAAAAAAATTCATATTTGTGTAGACCCCCCCCTTTTTTTGTGTGATTATGTTAAGACCCCCGGTGTTATATCCGGGGGTTTACGGGTACAAGCTATCAATACAACAGAATGAAAGCAATTGCAGAGAAGAGACAAGCTTCAGAAGTAGTGTCAGTAATGTTTCTAGGTCAATAGATCAGTTTGTTAGTAAATGTCAGTTGTGGTATTGTGTCTTGCTGCTCAACCACCAGGTCAACCTGCTCTGCAACTAATATGTTGCAAGCAGAAGTATAGAAACTCGGATACCCATCAGCTTGGCTTCCAATGTCATGGCCACTGCTGCTGACGACCCAGTCGAGCCTCTTGAGGTGCATTAAACACAGCACCGACGCTGCTCCATGCATGTATACACAGAGAAACCCTGCTAACACGGCTGCTGCTTGGCTGCTCCACAAACATTGCTCCTGTCTCCACTACTCACGGCTGCTGATTCTACCGTATCCTGGCATGTAGCCCTGTAACAGACCCATGCAATGCCTGCTGCTCCTGTTCGTGTATGGACAAACTGAGCTTGCCTGTAGCTCCTCTCATTCAGCTCGATCAGTGCTAGCCGAACGACCTGCGGCTATCAGTGCTATCAGTCACGAGAGATCTGCTGCTGCTCAAGTGGGGATCCTCGAACCCATCCAGCCTATCTACCCGCTGCTAGCAGTGTAGCGCTCGAGTCTTATGCTGCTGCTCCATGCGCCTGCTTGCAGAAACCTGCTGCTACCACTGCAGTGCTGTGACCATCCGAACGAACCTACAACACTCACCAGTCTGCCACAACGGTTGCTCAATCGATTTTGGGAATACCCATTCATGATACGCTGCTACATCTATCTGCAGCAAAGCCTCCTACATCCTCAGTGCGTCCCACCAACTGCTGCTACTGCCTGGAACACCACAGCAGTGAAGTTGCCCTCCTGGCCTTACAGCAACTAGGCACCTACGGGCCTACACTACACTCCCTGTTACTAAACACGTGCTTGTTGGTGCATGTCACTACTTGCTACTCGCTCACTACTGTACTCACTTCGCCTACGTGTCATACGGGCCAACGTACGTGATTGGTCGGTTCTTGAACCACGCCACCATCTCAGGATCCAACGGCTTAGCTGCGATGGCAGCGTCGAGCATCGGCGAGCCAAAAAGTTTTCGGGCTGACCGGAAGTCCCAGATGGACGATTCGGACGATTTGGGCCATGGCTTCTCCGGCATCTTTTCCTGTTCGGGCAGAAATTGATTGCGCATTGAGGGGGTGGGATTGGGTAAACAATCGGGAAGACATGGGAAAACATTAAGTGGGCGGCCCAAAGGAAGGGAGGGGAGACAACGGATGGGAGGGAGGGGTGAGGGATGGAAGAAGAAACGGCCGGAAAAACAGGCTGGGAAGAGAACAGGAAGATTAAAAGAAGGAGAATAAATGAACTCTTCTCATCTCTGACAACACTCACCATGCGATGCAGCAGTGACCTCCTCTCCCTCTGCCCATACGCCCTCGGCAGCGCTTGCAGTGGGTTCTTCGAATAACAAGACGATGGGTCCGGCAAGAGAAGGCACCCCCTTCTCAAAGCCCTCAACGCCTTGCCTGGATCCACCAGCGTCTGCTTGAACCAAAAAATCAGCTGCCCGTAAATGTAATCACTATCGTATTCTTTCACCCACTCCCACTCGTCTTGCTGCGGGTAGTGTGCGAAGGAGGAGGAGGAGGAGGGCGGCGGGACCGAGGGAGAGGGCGATGCGATGTTTCGGCCGAGGTCAGATGCGACGATGGTCATGGGTGGGGAGTCGAAGGGCGGGTATTCGTGGAGGGCGAACACGTTGGTGGTGTAGGCGTATAGATGGATGAGATCGGCTGCTGCGTCGTTTCGGCTGCCCGCCGTCACGGGCAGCTGGAGCAGCTCGTCCCGCAGCCTGGGAAAGGAAGAATGGAAAAAGGGAAAAGAAAAAAAAGGGGGAAAAAAGTGAGTGGAGCACATGAGAGGTGCGAATAGGAAAATAAATCAGCCTTTGAGTTGAAAGAGCAAGCAGAGAAACTAGCTGCAGCAGTGCTTCCCCACCCACCTGATAGAATTGGAGCTGAAGGCACTAGGCCTTAAGTACAAACAAGGTTGGGTTGAAAAAAGCTAGGGAAAGGATGGGATGGAAATCCAAGCAAATCTCCAATGGTGAGTTGGCATATTTGTTGGATTACGGAGGAACCCCAACCGGATAGGGTTGACAGCATATAGAACAGAATACACAAAGTGTTGACAGCCTATTTCTAACACCACCCTCACACATACTCTCCCCACCCTTTCCCCCTTCCTCATGCACGGAGCCTCTACTCCTTCCCCCACAAGTCACCATAGCAGACTTTGTTGAGAGCATGGGCATTGGGTTTAGGTGCCCTCTCCCTCACGCGCTGTCGGAACGCCACAAACGCGGGGCGGTTGAGGTGAAGAGCGATGCAGCACAGCAGCACGGCCACCACAGACCCTTCCCCGCCCCTCATGAACGTGCAAACTCATGCACCCCTTTCCCCCACTTCGCCCCCATTCCCATGCAAGAAGCCGCTACCATTCTCCCAACGACGACTCACCATAGTAGACTGCGCTTAAGCGCGTGCGCGTTGGGTTTAGGTGTCCTCTCCCGCACGCGCTGCCGGAACGCCACAAACGCCGGGCGGTCGAGGTGCAGAGCGATGCAGCGCAGCAGCACCGCCACCACAGACCCCTCGCCGCCCCACACCTTGCGCACGAGCTCGTGCCCCGTCACCAGGCGGAGAGGGGGCGGGCCGGCCTTGGGATCTCCGTAGAGCGACTTGAGGCAGTAGCGCACCCGGTCCATTGTTATGGCTAGGTTCTGTAGGCGACCAAGGTAAACGCCCTCGGCCTGAAGGTGGGGACAGGAAGGATGAATGGAAGGAAGGCAGACACAGCGACTTGAGGCAGTAGCGCACCCGGTCCATTGCTATGGCTAAGTTCTGTAGGCGACAAAAGAAAAAAGGAAAAAAAAAGTACCTCGTTTCTCGCATCTTCTTCCAAATCCCACCCCTCCTCCTCGTCCCCCTCTTCCTCCTCCTGCTGCTGCTGCTCCTGCTTCTGCTGCCCCTGACCCTGCTGCTCCGGCTGCTTCCGCTGCTGCTGCTTCTGCTGATTCTCTCTCTTTTTCCTCTTCCTTCGCCTCCTCCGTTCCTCACCCGACGAGTAACCATCCTCATCGTCCTCCTCTTCCTCCTCCTGAGCGTATTCCTCGTCACTCCCCTCCTCACTCTCCTCACTCTCACTATCCTCCTTATCACCGTCCCCGTTACTAGAACCTGCCCCGTTAGCATCACAACCTTTAGCATCACCATTGTTGCCATCATTGCAAGCATGCCCCTCTGCACCGCTCGCGCTTTCTCTAGCACCGTTCCCAACCGCACTAGCACCAAGACCAGCATTCTTCAACGCATTGCCGTGAAAACCGTTCACAGCACGAATATCACAACCAGAACCAGCAGCAGCAGCAGCAGCAGCAGCAGCACCTTTTGCATCGCCATTTACCCTACAATCAGCATCGGCACAAGCAACACCACCACTACTGACGCTCCTACCACCATCCCCTTCCCCGCCTTTCCCTGCCACATTCATCCTCCCCTCTCCAGCTCCAGCCTTCATATCCGCCTCATTTTCCTCCCTCTTCTCATCCCCATCCCCATCTCGCCTCCCACCATTCACACCAGCAGCACCAGAACCAAGCTCTCCCATTCCCCCTGTTCCACCTCCCCCACCCACTCCTTCCCCCTCCTCAACTTTGCACACTCCTCCTCCTACCCTTTCGTCCGTCCCTTTTCCCTCCTCCCTCGCAGCTTCACCACCATTGGCACCGTTACCAGTAACAGCAGCACCCGCACCATTACCGCCAGTAGCAGCGCCATCAGTAGTAGCAGCAGCAGCAGCACCACCACCACTAACACCCGCCCTGGCACCAGCAGAGTCACTATTAGCAGCAGCAGCAGCAACAGCAGCGGCAGCAGCATCAGAGGGACGCCTGTGCTTGCCCTGCTTGGCCCTCTCGCTCAGACGCTCCTTTACTATCAGCTCCGGTAACAGGTACTTCTCCTCCTCTATAAACTCCATCTGAAAAAGGAAAAGGAAAAGAAATGGAAGACAATATATATTTATTAACTTCTTGCCGTTTTTTTCTGCGACACGAGAGAGCACATCAGCACAGCACTACTCACCAGCAGAGCAGTGTAACGGATGGCCCAATCCGGCAGGTTAGAGAGCAGGCGGCCCTTCTTAGTGCCATCAGCAGCGGCAGCGCATGCCATCTCACTAGCCTAAGAAGCTCAGGAGCACAGAGACCAGCACTGCGTAGCACTACTCACCAGCAGGTTCGTGTAACGGATGGCCCAATCCGGCAGGTCAGAGAGTAAGCTGCTGCCGATACCCGCCCGGCGCAAAGCACTCTCCCCTGCCTCCCCCTGTTGACGCCATCAGCAGCAGCGTGTGCCACCTTACAAGCCTAAGAAAGAGGGAGCACAGCAGCACAGCACTACTCACCAGCAGGGCAGTGTAACGGATGGCCCAATCCGGCAGGTCAGAGAGCAGGCTGCTGCCGATGCCGGCCCTTCTCAGGGCACTCTCCTCGGCCTCCGTGATGCCTCCCCCTGTTGACGCCATCAGCAGCAGCGCATGCCGTCGCACCACAGCATGGTGCTGGCTGATCACGTGCGTGTAGGACTGCCCGCCACCCAAATGCAGGTAGCTTCCCTTGCAATACCGGTGGCCGCATAAGCAGACAGCTTGTTTGTATTCCTCTACACTCTGAGAGGTGGGGAGAAGGGGAAGGGGAGAAAGGCAGAAAAGAGGAGTTGAAACAGGTTAGGAACGGTGAAAACACGGGTCAGCGCATGAACACGACTGGCCTTCCTCCTTGTTCGTGCCGTCGCACCACAGCATGGTGCTGGCTGATCACGTGCGTGTAGGACTGCCCTCCGCCCACGTGCAGGTAGCTGCCCTTGCAGTAGCGGTGGCAGCACAGGCAGACAGCCTGCTTGTACTCTTCTACACTCTGACGGGTTGAAAGGGGAGAAAGGAGGAAGAAAAATCGAGTTGGGAAGGTTTCACAAGCACGAGACCGCCCCACCCCACCCCGTCCTTCTCATGCCGTCGCACCACAGCATGGTGCTGGCTGATCACGTGCGTGTAGGACTGCCCGCCCCCCAGGTGCAGGTAGCTGCCCTTGCAGTAGCGGTGGCCGCACAGGCACACTGCTTGCTTGTATTCCTCTACACTCTGATGGACGGAATGGGGAGGGGAGAAAGGATGAAGAAAAATCGAGCTGGAAAGGTTTCACAAGCACGAGACTGCCCCCCTTCTCCTCTTGTTGCCGAACTATCATGTGGTGTTGGCTGATCACATGCGTGTTGTGTAGGACTAGCTTCTGCCACTTGCCCTCACCTTTACCAAGTGCAGATAGCTGTTCTTGAAGCATTTACTGTTGAAGACAAGGGCTTCTCCCTCGCTCCATCGCCCTCACCTCAGTGACGGAGTTATAGTCAAAGGTGAGTTCTTCCCCCGGCAGGATGTGGCGGATGACATACACTCTGATCATGCTTCCCCCCCGCCATCTCCCTCTCTCACCTCGCTGCGTCTCCCTCCCTCCCTCCCATCTCAAGGACCCACCGCACTCACCTCAGTGACGGAGTTATAATCGAATGTGAGCTCCTCCACTGGCAGGTGAGGTGAGGTGAGGTGAGGTGAGGTGAGGTGAGGTGAGGTGAGTTCCTCCTCAGGAATGTACTATGGCAGAGTCAGCTACTATCTCACGCACCTCAGTGACGGAGTTATAGTCGAATGTGAGCTCCTCCCCGGGCAGGATGTGGCGAATGGCGTACACACCAATCATGTATGATCCATCCACTGCCACCACCCTGCAGCGGGAACGAACAAGAGCGCACATGGGGGCAGGGAGGGAGATCAATAAGATGCCTAGAGGATCAACGGCCAGGATGTTGCGGATGGCTTACGCCGTACACCCCGATCATGTAGGACCCGAGGTGACTTTTGAGTCGACTCAAAAGTCACCTCGTTGCGGATGGCTTATGCCGTACACCCCGATCATGTAGGACCCGTCCACAGCTACCACTCTGCAGATAACAAAGGCCTGCTCTTGAGTGAATTAGTGCATCGGGAGAAGGAAGCGACTCACTTGGCTTCGCAGTTGGGGCTGCAGGAGTGGCAGAGGCGAGAGGCGAAGTTGGCGCGATGCATGGCATCCACCACCAACACATCGTACCCCGCCTCGTCTCCCTTTGGGGGGCGCTGTGAGGGGCCCTGTGAGGGGCCTGCTGTTGAACAACTCATTGCATCTCGAGAAAGAAGAGACTCACTTGGCTTCGCAGTTGGGGCTGCAGGAATGGCAGAGGCGAGAAGCGAAGTTGGCCCGATGCATGGCATCCACCACCAACACATCGTACCCCGCCTCGTCTCCCTTCGGCCGCTCCAGCAGAATGTTGTAGAACTCTGAGACGGCCTCCTTGTTGTGGATCATGCGAATGCCGTCCTGCTTCTCATGCCACCGCCACGGCGGGTACACCTCCCCAAAGAACTCCACCACAAAGTCCTCCTTGGGAATGCCCTCGGGGGCCTTGCACACCACTCCCAGACCCTGAAAGGGGCAAAAGACAAGCGAGAGCAACGGAGCAGGAGGAGAAGGAGAAGGAGCAGGATTGAGAAGATCAACACCATAACCATTTAGAACTCTGAGACGGCCTCCTTGTTTTGGATCATGCGAATGCCGTCCTGCTTCTCATGCCACCGCCAGGGAGGGTACACCTCCCCGAAAAACTCCACCACAAAGTCCTCCTTGGGGATGCCTTCGGGGGCTTTGCAGACCACTCCCAGGCCCTGTACGGGGTAAGAATGGGGAGGGAGCACCCTCCTGTAAGCCAGGTACTTGTCAGGTTTCTTCATGTTCCTCCGCGCCCGCATGGCCGAGTGCAGCGCCTTGCACAGCCCCTCAACGCATGGTCGCCCTCCTTTAGGCCACTAACTAGCAATACAGCACGATACAATACATACCTTAATTGGCTGACTGAAGGACGCACCTTCCTGTAAGCCAGGTATTTATCGGGTTTCTTCATGTTCCTCCGGGCCCGCATGGCCAAGTACAGCGCCTTGCACAGGTCCCTCAGCGCGTGGTCACTCTCTCAACAGCCTATACTAGTTCTCTACACCACTCACCTTCCTATAAGCCAAGTACCAGTCAAGAGTGAACAACGCACCTTCCTGTAAGCCAAATACTTGTCTGGTTTCTTCATGTTCCTCCGCGCACGCATTGCGGAGTAAAGTGCCTTGCACAGGTCCCTCAATGCATGGTCGCCCTTCTTGTCAGCATCAATCTTCATGAGAGCCACCACAGGCATCAGGTCTAGCTCTAGCGGCACCTTGCCTCGGAAGGACGCTGCCAGTTGGTTCAGGGCTGGCAGCAGGCGCTGCAGGGGTGCACGGGGTTGGGAGAGGTTGGGAGGGGTGAATCAGCATCAGAGCGTGGTCGCCCTTGTTGTCTGCGTCAATCTTCATGAGAGCCACCACGGGCATCAGATCCAGCTCCAAGGGGACTTTTCCCCTGAAGGACGCAGCTAATTGATTGAGTGCTGGGAGCAGGCGCTGCAGGGGGGGTGTATGGGTGTGTGTTGGGAGTGAGGAAGAAGGCATACACAAGCATCAGCATCAGAGCGTGGTCGCCCTTGTTGTCTGCGTCAATCTTCATGAGAGCCACCACGGGCATCAGATCCAGCTCTAAGGGGACCTTGCCCCTGAAGGACGCTAGCTGGTTCAGTGCTGGGAGCAGGAGCTGGAGATATGAAAGGGTGGTTGGGTATGGGGGACGGAGGAATGGGAGGTGAGAGAATGATGGTCATAATGGAAGCTTCCTTTAGTGCTTCCATTACGGGCATGGCAGAACGCGCGTGCTCGCCCTGAGCAGTGCAACTCTCTTCAACCATACCCTCCTGCTGCCATGCCATGCCACACACCTCTCACACCACTCACTCACTCCCACGCCTTACCCCACCCTCGCACTCGCGACCGCGATGAAGGAGTGTCTCTCCTCGTCCATCTCAGTGGGAGGCATGAAGGGCAGCGTGCTTGTGAGTGTACGGGTCGAAGCCATACACCTCCTGCTCGCCCCCAACCGCTACACGCACATCACAGCACACCGCAAGCCCCTTCCGCCTCCCTACATTTGAGGCGCCTCAAAAGTCCTACCGCATCACAGCACACCACACGCCCCTTCCCCTACACTCATATGTCCCATGCCCCAGATCCCAGCACTCACGTCCTCGATGAACGAGTGTCGTTCTTCATCTGTCTCAGTGGGAGGCATGAAGGGCAGTGTGTCCAGCAACAGGTTGTGAGTGTAGGGGTCGATACCATACACCTCCTGCTCGCCCACCTCTGGCCCCACTGCCTTGCGCGGTCGCCACTCCCTCACCTCTGGCAGCTCCAAGTGTATGTACTGCAGGGGTTGGGGATAAAGGGGGAGAGGTGGAGACAAAGAGGCGGGGAAAGGAGGGTAAATGGCGAGTTGAGTGGGTATGTGTGTAGGGGTCGATACCATACACCTCCTGCTCGGCCACTTCTGGCCCCACTGCCTTGCGGGGCCTCCATTCCCTCACCTCCGGGAGCTCCAGGTGTATATACTGTTGACAGGGAGAAGGGGAGAGAAAGCGTGGGGGGCAAAGGAAGGTAAGGGCGAGGTAAGGAGTCTGTGTGTGAGTGTACGAGTCGATGCCATACACCTCCTGCTCGGCCACTTCTGGCCCCACTGCCTTGCGGGGCCTCCATTCCCTCACCTCCGGGAGCTCCAGGTGTATATACTGTTGACAGGGAGAAGGGGAGAGAAAGCGTGGGGGGCAAAGGAAGGTAAGGGCGAGGTAAGGAGTCTGTGTGTGAGTGTACGAGTCGATGCCATACACCTCCTGCTCGGCCACTTCTGGCCCCACTGCCTTGCGGGGCCTCCATTCCCTCACCTCCGGGAGCTCCAGGTGTATATACTGTTGACAGGGAGAAGGGGAGAGAAAGCGTGGGGGGCAAAGGAAGGTAAGGGCGAGGTAAGGAGTCTGTGTGTGAGTGTACGAGTCGATGCCATACACCTCCTGCTCGCCCACCTCTGGCCCCACTGCCTTGCGGGGCCTCCATTCCCTCACCTCCGGGAGAGAAAGCGTGGGGGGCAAAGGAAGGTAAGGGCGAGGTAAGGAGTCTGTGTGTGAGTGTACGAGTCGATGCCATACACCTCCTGCTCGCCCACCTCTGGCCCCACTGCCTTGCGGGGCCTCCATTCCCTCACTTCCGGGAGCTCTAGGTGTATATACTGTTGACAGGGAGAAGGGGAGAGAAAGCGCAGGGGGGGAAAAGGACAGGGAGTAGCAAGTTAAGCGGGGGTGTGTGTGTACGGGTCGATCCCAAACACCCCTAGCTCGCCCTCCTCCTCCTTCACAACCACATACTCCTCAATCACCTCATACTGCCGAGTCACCGGCGGCACCAACCCAGCCACGGGGTGACCCACCCACCCACCATCACTCCAACGCACTCTGCACTTTCTCTCACTTTCACACTCACCCCTCCCTTGAGACTCACCAATCCCCTCCCTTGAGACTCACCAATCCCCTCCCTTGAGACTCACCAATCCCCTCCCTTGAGACTCACCAATCCCCTCCCTTGAGACTCACCAATCCCCTCCCTTGAGACTCACCAATCCCCTCCCTTGAGACTCACCAATCCCCTCCCTTGAGACTCACCAATCCCCTCCCTTGAGACTCACCAATCCCCTCCCTTGAGACTCACCAATCCCCTCCCTTGAGACTCACCAATCCCCTCCCTTGAGACTCACCAATCCCCTCCCTTGAGACTCACCAATCCCCTCCCTTGAGACTCACCAATCCCCTCCCTTGAGACTCACCAATCCCCTCCCTTGAGACTCACCAATCCCCTCCCTTGAGACTCACCAATCCCCTCCCTTGAGACTCACCAATCCCCTCCCTTGAGACTCACCAATCCCCTCCCTTGAGACTCACCAATCCCCTCCCTTGAGACTCACCAATCCCCTCCCTTGAGACTCACCAATCCCCTCCCTTGAGACTCACCAATCCCCTCCCTTGAGACTCACCAATCCCCTCCCTTGAGACTCACCAATCCCCTCCCTTGAGACTCACCAATCCCCTCCCTTGAGACTCACCAATCCCCTCCCTTGAGACTCACCAATCCCCTCCCTTGAGACTCACCAATCCCCTCCCTTGAGACTCACCAATCCCCTCCCTTGAGACTCACCAATCCCCTCCCTTGAGACTCACCAATCCCCTCCCTTGAGACTCACCAATCCCCTCCCTTGAGACTCACCAATCCCCTCCCTTGAGACTCACCAATCCCCTCCCTTGAGACTCACCAATCCCCTCCCTTGAGACTCACCAATCCCCTCCCTTGAGACTCACCAATCCCCTCCCTTGAGACTCACCAATCCCCTCCCTTGAGACTCACCAATCCCCTCCCTTGAGACTCACCAATCCCCTCCCTTGAGACTCACCAATCCCCTCCCTTGAGACTCACCAATCCCCTCCCTTGAGACTCACCAATCCCCTCCCTTGAGACTCACCAATCCCCTCCCTTGAGACTCACCAATCCCCTCCCTTGAGACTCACCAATCCCCTCCCTTGAGACTCACCAATCCCCTCCCTTGAGACTCACCAATCCCCTCCCTTGAGACTCACCAATCCCCTCCCTTGAGACTCACCAATCCCCTCCCTTGAGACTCACCAATCCCCTCCCTTGAGACTCACCAATCCCCTCCCTTGAGACTCATCAATCCCCTCCCTTGAGACTCACCAATCCCCTCCCTTGAGACTCACCAATCCCCTCCCTTGAGACTCACCAATCCCCTCCCTTGAGACTCACCAATCCCCTCCCTTGAGACTCACCAATCCCCTCCCTTGAGACTCACCAATCCCCTCCCTTGAGACTCACCAATCCCCTCCCTTGAGACTCACCAATCCCCTCCCTTGAGACTCACCAATCCCCTCCCTTGAGACTCACCAATCCCCTCCCTTGAGACTCACCAATCCCCTCCCTTGAGACTCACCAATCCCCTCCCTTGAGACTCACCAATCCCCTCCCTTGAGACTCACCAATCCCCTCCCTTGAGACTCACCAATCCCCTCCCTTGAGACTCACCAATCCCCTCCCTTGAGACTCATCAATCCCCTCCCTTGAGACTCACCAATCCCCTCCCTTGAGACTCACCAATCCCCTCCCTTGAGACTCACCAATCCCCTCCCTTGAGACTCACCAATCCCCTCCCTTGAGACTCACCAATCCCCTCCCTTGAGACTCACCAATCCCCTCCCTTGAGACTCACCAATCCCCTCCCTTGAGACTCATCAATCCCCTCCCTTGAGACTCACCAATCCCCTCCCTTGAGACTCACCAATCCCCTCCCTTGAGACTCACCAATCCCCTCCCTTGAGACTCACCAATCCCCTCCCTTGAGACTCACCAATCCCCTCCCTTGAGACTCACCAATCCCCTCCCTTGAGACTCACCAATCCCCTCCCTTGAGACTCACCAATCCCCTCCCTTGAGACTCACCAATCCCCTCCCTTGAGACTCACCAATCCCCTCCCTTGAGACTCACCAATCCCCTCCCTTGAGACTCACCAATCCCCTCCCTTGAGACTCACCAATCCCCTCCCTTGAGACTCACCAATCCCCTCCCTTGAGACTCACCAATCCCCTCCCTTGAGACTCACCAATCCCCTCCCTTGAGACTCACCAATCCCCTCCCTTGAGACTCACCAATCCCCTCCCTTGAGACTCACCAATCCCCTCCCTTGAGACTCACCAATCCCCTCCCTTGAGACTCACCAATCCCCTCCCTTGAGACTCACCAATCCCCTCCCTTGAGACTCACCAATCCCCTCCCTTGAGACTCACCAATCCCCTCCCTTGAGACTCACCAATCCCCTCCCTTGAGACTCACCAATCCCCTCCCTTGAGACTCACCAATCCCCTCCCTTGAGACTCACCAATCCCCTCCCTTGAGACTCACCAATCCCCTCCCTTGAGACTCACCAATCCCCTCCCTTGAGACTCACCAATCCCCTCCCTTGAGACTCACCAATCCCCTCCCTTGAGACTCACCAATCCCCTCCCTTGAGACTCACCAATCCCCTCCCTTGAGACTCACCAATCCCCTCCCTTGAGACTCACCAATCCCCTCCCTTGAGACTCACCAATCCCCTCCCTTGAGACTCACCAATCCCCTCCCTTGAGACTCACCAATCCCCTCCCTTGAGACTCACCAATCCCCTCCCTTGAGACTCACCCGGCTGGCATGACTCACCCGGCTGGCATGACTCACCCGGCTGGCATGACTCACCCGGCTGGCAGGACTCACCCGGCTGGCATGACTCACCCGGCTGGCATGACTCACCCGGCTGGCATGACTCACCCGGCTGGCATGACTCACCCGGCTGGCATGACTCACCCGGCTGGCATGACTCACCCGGCTGGCATGACTCACCCGGCTGGCATGACTCACCCGGCTGGCATGACTCACCCGGCTGGCATGACTCACCCGGCTGGCATGACTCACCCGGCTGGCATGACTCACCCGGCTGGCATGACTCACCCGGCTGGCATGACTCACCCGGTTGGCATGACTCACCCGGTTGGCATGACTCACCCGGTTGGCATGACTCACCCGGTTGGCATGACTCACCCGGTTGGCATGACTCACCCGGTTGGCATGACTCACCCGGTTGGCATGACTCACCCGGTTGGCATGACTCACCCGGTTGGCATGACTCACCCGGCTGGCATGACTCACCCGGTTGGCATGACTCACCCGGTTGGCATGACTCACCCGGTTGGCATGACTCACCCGGTTGGCATGACTCACCCGGTTGGCATGACTCACCCGGTTGGCATGACTTACCCGGTTGGCATGACTCACCCGGTTGGCATGACTTACCCGGTTGGCATGACTCACCCGGTTGGCATGACTTACCCGGTTGGCATGACTTACCCGGTTGGCATGACTTACCCGGTTGGCATGACTCACCCGGTTGGCATGACTCACCCGGTTGGCATGACTTACCCGGTTGGCATGACTCACCCGGTTGGCATGACTTACCCGGTTGGCATGACTTACCCGGTTAGCATGACTCACCCGGTTGGCATGACTTACCCGGTTGGCATCAGCCATGGCTTGCGCCTGCCTTGCTTTCTCAGCATAACCCGCAGGCAGCTCCACCCGCATCTTCCTCCGCACGCCCTCCTCCTCCTCCACGATCACATACTCCTCAATCACCTCATACTGCCGCGTCACTGGCGGCACCATAGCCGCCCTCGTCATCCTGTTCCCCCAATGCCTCCTCATCTCCTCATCAGCCACATTCACCACCACCACTGGTCCCGATCCCTTAGACCCTTCCGAGGAGGAAGAGGAAGAGGAGGAGTCTTCGCCTGCCTCCTCTTCTTCCCCTGCCCGGCCTGCCTTTGAGTTGTCGGATTTGCTCCCGGCTGCGGCAGCAGCAGCGCCGCCAGCACTGGTTGTACCAGCACTGGTGCGCACCCGGCCCTTCCGCTCGCCTCCTCGCGCCTCCGCCCCTTCCCCTTTCCTCCTCCCCGTCCGCTCCTCTCGTTTCGCTCCCCTGCCCCGGCCCTTGCCGTTCCCGCCCTGCCCTGCTCCCTCCCCTCCTCCTCCTCCTCCTCCTCCTTCCTCCTCCGCTTCTGCTGCCGCTGCTGCTTACGCCGCCTCCCTTCCCGCCCCTTTACCTGCCTCCCTCCCTTCCGGCTCCCACCCACAGGCCGTACAGACCCACCCAGGGAGCAAGACGACTGGGCATCAGAGCCCGATTCACTCTCAGTCCCCTCCTCTCCTTCTGAAGCAGAGGAGGCAGGGGAGGAGGCGGAGGGAGAGGAGGTGCCCGAGGTGGCAGGGGTGGCAGGAGAGGAGGGAGAGGAGGACTCAGCACGAGCCGCTCTGATACCATTCCGACCACTACCGCTAGCAGGCGCGTGTTTGGCTTTGCTGGCAGCACCATGGGCGGCTGTTTCCGATGCTCGACGCCCCCCTGACTTTGGAAGCCCGGGTTTCGCCTTGGTGGTTGCGACTTCAGCTGTAGCAGCGGCGGCGGCTGCGGCAGCAGCAGCTTTCTTGGTCTCGGAACCTGCGTCGGAACCTTCCTCCTCTGCCGATTCAAATTCATCCAAGTCCGAATCCCCTCTCTCATCTCCTTCCTCATCCTCTTCCTCCTCATCATCCTCCTCATCCTCCTCTTCTGACTCCGACCAGATGTTTCGGCCCGAATCCCCCTTCCACTCCTCCTCCTCCATCTCATACCCAAACCTCCCCTCCTCTTCCGAGTCACTCTCATACCCACTGCTATCCGAATCCGCAGCACTCTTTCTCCTCTTACTCACTCGTCTCACCCCTGCTCCCTCTCTCTCCCTCTTCCCTCCAGTTCTCGCAGAAACAGGCCCATTCCCTCTTCCCGACCCCATCCGAGAACCAGCCCCTACCCCGCTCGCACCACCAAAACCACCACCAGCACCACCAAAACTGCTGCCAGCAGCAGCAGGAGCAGCAGAAGCAGGGCGATCGGTGGAAGCCATGTGTGCGGCAGCAAGGGCGGTGAGAAAGCTAGTCTTGATACCATCGATGGTTGAGCGGCTGAGTGCAAAGAGCTGGCGTGCTGCTCGATACATGGGGGATTTCTCATTCACATTGCTGTAGATAGTCGGGGGGCGGGGGGGAAGGGGGGGCGGGGAGGAGAGAGGGGGATGTTGGCAGGGCACTTAATAGTGTTGATGGTTGAACGGCTGAGAGCGAAGAGCTGGCGCGCTGCTCGATACATGGGGGATTTCTCATTCACATTGCTGTAGAAAATAACAGGGAAGGGTGGGAGAGGCACAGGCCAGTGACAGAAGAAAAGAGTTGACTTTTGAGTCGACTCATAAGTCAACACACTTAGATAATGTGAAATGTGAAAACGTTGATGTGTCACGTACGGATTTTAAATCAACAAGCAATGACAGAGAAAGCTGTGGCACTCAGGTGAGCACGCCGCAACTTACGTGAACACGTTGCGACTCATGCGCTGAGTATGACTCTCAAACCACACAAGCCTAAATCTACAGCACCTCAAAAGATGCCTCAAACCAAACTGTACAACTTACGTGAACACGCTGCGGCACAAAAGCTGAAGATCACTCTCAAATCGCGCAAGCCCGTTCACCCTCACACCCATTGCCACCGCCGCCGCCGCCACTGCCGCTGCTGCACTCCCTGTCACTGCAGACCCAACAGCCAACCCGGCTCCTCCTGCTGCCACCATGCTCCCTCCACCGCCCCCTATTAATCCTCCTGCTGCTCCTCCTCCCACTACTCCTCCTGCTGCTGCAGTGGTTCCAGTGGAAGCAGCAGCACGGGCAATGGCAGCAGCAGCGCCAGACGCATCACTATACACGCCCTCCTTTAACCGCCTCTCCAATGTGGGCAGATCCAAAGAGAGTCGCCCCTTGCGACTAGCCCCTCCTGCTGCTGCTGCTGCTGCTCCTGGTGCTGCGTCCTGTGGTTGGACGATGGAGAGGAGATATGAGTGAGTGAGAGGGTCAGTCAGGGTGCTTAATAGGACATGAGGGCATCACGTAAAAAAAGTCTCAACAAAAAGCCGGAATGCAAATGACTGGAATTTCATGGTGAAGCTAGATAATGAAGAGGACAGATCGGTAAAGTGGTATTGAAGCACACGTACCAGGAGCACCCCTCTGGAGAAGTAGTGCTGTTTGTCCCACTCCTGCAGCCTGCGAATGGCACCCCCTATCTCCCTCTCTAACACTCGCACCGCCTCTCCCTCCATATCCCCCCTCCCCACGCCCCTCCCCACTGCAGGCGGCGACCTGAACCCTTCTCTCCTCTCCCCCACCCCTCCCCCTCCGCCTCCTCTTCCCCCCACTCCCGCCCCCGCCCCCGCCCCCGCCCCCGCCCCCGCCCCCCAGCCTCCCCCCCCACCGGTTCCTCCCCCTGCGCCAGTCCGCCCTGCCCCAGGTCTACCTCCCCCAGGTGCGCCCTGCCCTGAGCTGGATTTGAGTGACAGCCGCCCCCCAGTGGGCGGCAGCATGCCGCCCTTCTTCCTCTCCTGCTGCAGATCCGACCTGCCCCTGTCCTTACCTGCCCCTTCCATGCCCCCCCCAAGCCTATCCTTCCCCCACTTCCCATCCCCCTCCTTCTCCCTCCCTCTCTCCATGCCTCTGCCTCTCTCCCAACCCCCCTCTCCGCCCCCAAATCCTCCTGCTCCCCTTGCTCCCGCTGCTCCCCCTGCGCCTGCCCTCCCTGCATTCCCATGGCTTCTCCCCCCTGAATCAGCAGAGGCAGCAGCAGCAGCGGCACTAGACTGGCCACTACCCGCATTCGACGAAGCAACGGGCAGATGCGCTACATTCCCTCCCGCCCCCACCCCTCCCCCTGCTCCTCTCCCCAACCTCTTGCCACCAGCAGCAGCAGCAGCAGCAGCAACACCGGCACCACCAGCAGCACCACGAGCAGCAGCACCAGCAGTACCAGCACCACGAGACACTCCGCCTCCTACTGCCCTCCCACTCGTCCCAGAGGCTCGGACTCCTCCCCGCTGCGACCGCCCGTCCACATTGGCTGCTGCGATTGCCCTGGCCAGGGACGCTGCTGCTGCTGCTGCCAGCGGGGCTCCTCGTGGGGGCCTGGGCCGCCCAGGGGAAACAGCAGCAGGCGCAGCAGCAGCAGGAGTAGAAGCAGCAGCAGTGGCAGTTGCAGTGGCGGCAGGAGCAGTAGCAGGAACCACAGATTCGGAGGCACCAGCAGCAGCAGCAGTGGGACCAAGAGCAGGAGCAGGAGCAGCTAAGGCACTCAGCTTCTGGTTCGGAGAGATTCGGACGAATGAGTGTGCAGGTGAGAGAATGAGGAAAAGGAGGTGCGGAAAGGAGGAGGCGAGAGGGGCGAGGCGGGGGCAACCAGTCATGATGATGGCAGAGAGCGATGGGCGAGTGGAGATGAAGCGGTGGAGAGCGGTTGGTGTGAGTGAAGTGCAGTGCGCAAGTGAGAGCGCTTGGAGACCTTGTGGGGCGGATTTCTGAGGTTGGGGCACGATGGAAATCGAGAGGAGGGTTGGAGGGGGGGGGGGGGGGGGGGTGTTATTGGGGGGGATGGGGGGGAAGAGTTGAGAAACGGGTATAAACACAAAGAGAGAAAAACTGCAAGAAATTCGATAATATAGCTACATACTTCCAGCACTCCAACAGCAGAATCCTGCACGCGAGTGCCTAGACTCAACAGATCCAGCAGCAGCACACTCTCCGAAAAGCATCGCGCCATGCACGGCACACTGCAACATGAAAGAGAACAGGAGCTACTACGTACCTCCAACGCTCCAAGGGCAGAATCCTGCACGCGAGCGCCTAGACTCGACAAATCCAGCAGCTGCAGCCCCCGCCACACTCGCCGAAGACCCTCGCGCCATGCGCGGCACACCGCAGCACAGCGCACCAGCAGAGCCGCATCGCCATTCAACTGCCCCAGAAGCAGCTCAGCCAGGCCCACATTCGCCTGCGCTTGGAGCTCTGCCTGGACTGGCTGCTCTTTCTTTGGCTGTGAGGGTGTGGGGAGCTCTGACTGATGTGGGAACTCGGTAGGGCAGGGGCGGAAGCTGCTTGACTGAGTTGTGGGCGGCACTGGTTGCATTGCAGGGGCAGATAGAGTCGGCTTCACTGCTTTGTCCAGGTTCAGTGCATCTGGATGCATGACGGCACTTAAGAGTTCCGCCAGAGGGTCAGGAAGGATGACCGGTTCCGTCTCTCCGTATTCAAAAGCCTCGCTCTGCAGAGTCCCTGCTGGCAACCTCCTGTCCGGCTTCACATCACCTGAAAAACCACCTGACGGTTCACCTGAAAGCCCAACGACCCCTGCTTCTCCCACCAATCCTGGCTCCACCTTCACACCCATAGAAGGCCCAGGAAAGACCATGTAATCGGAAGTAACTCCAACAGCAGAAGGAGCAGCAGCAGCAGCACCCGAGCCACCTTTCATGGCCTCTCTCACTTTGCCTTCACCCTCCCGTGGGCCTGCAACGAGCTGTTGCATCTGCCCCCCCTCCTCCTGCTCCCACTCCCGTTTCACAACCCTCCCCTCCTTCCCTTCCATCCTCTCTCCCTTCCCCTCCACTACCCCCTCCTGCCCCTTCCTCTGCCGCTCCCTTCCTCCCTGCGGCCCCTCCTCCTGCTTCACTCTCTTCCGAGCCTCTACTGTCACCGCTCCTCCTTCCTCCTCTGACTCGCTGCTGTCCCCACCCATTAACAATCTCCTCCTTCTCACTGGAGGTGGACCTCTCAGTGCTCCTGCTGCTGCTGCTCCACCCGCCCCACCCGCCCCACCTGCCCCACCCGCCCCACCTGCCCCACCTGCCCCTGCTGCCCCCTCTCCTGCCCCGCGATGTCTCTTCCTCGAGTCTCCACCCTTCGTTTTCAACAACTCCTGATGGCTCTTCATTCTTTGTCGATCCCTGAACCCTCCATCTCCCTCCTCCTCCCTCTTTCTTCCAACCTTATTGTCCCTCCTCCCCACTTCGTCCCGATCCTCTACCTCCTGCTTCCGTACCTGACCCACCTGCACCACCCCACCTGCACTCCAACCCTGTGGCAGAGCTTCGGGAGCAGGTCCGGGCAGCTCGGCGCTCCCGGTGGCCAGGAACCGATCCAGAGCCTCGGCAAGCGCAGCCTTGGCAATCTTGGCTCGGAAAGCAGCCAGAGCTGCATCATGCAGCTTGGATCGGACATAGGCAAAGAAACTGAGGCCGCATGCTGACTGCCAGCCGTCGCAGCAACCCGCTTTCCTAAAAACTTCCCTCAATATTTCTTCTTCTGCTGCTGCAGTAGAGGCTGCAGTAGCGGTTGCAGCTGCTGCTATCGATGGTGTTAGGGCGCCCATCTGTGAGGCTGTAAACTCGCCCCTTGCACTTGCATCTGCATGTCCTTCCAAACCAGTCCCCTCCACAGGATGACTCGACACAACAACAAGGGCCAACTCTTTCCCTGCTGGCGAAGCTACACGCTGCTCCTCCTGCCTCTGCAGCGTCTGCCCTTCATAACCTCCTTGCCTCTCGTCCTCCTCCTCCTCCGCTGCTGCTGCTGCTGCTGCTGCAGTAACTGCCAGCGCAGCCCTTCCTCCCAGCTGCCCCAGCTGCGCGGGCAGAATGAGAGGCAGCACGTCCCGCTCCACCGAAGCAGACGGCAGCACCCAGAACAACGACTGCAGGTACGGAAACCCTAGCTCCACAGGCTTCCGAACCGAGACCGGCAGGGCAGAGCGAGCAGACGGAGAAGAATGGTCAGAAGGGGCAGAAGGGGCAGAAGGGTCAGGACGGGCAGACAGGGCAGTCAAGGAGCCACGAACACGTTTTTGCGGTATACGCCCCCTCGACTGGCCACGAGGTATCTCCTCTGCATCTGCATCCTCACCCTCCTCTGCCTCCTCCCCTTCCTCCTCCTCCTTCTCCCCTTTCCTGACTGTGGGTTTAGCACCGCAAGAAACAGGGGAGTCTATGCCTCCAGATATGGTGTCCCCAGGTAACACCTCCCCTGATTCCAGAGACATGCTTCTTGGGGATTGTGTGTGCTGCTGCAGGCGCTGGATAAGGGGGCTCCGGTGGGTGATGGGGCTGCGCTGCTGCTGCTTACCTCGCCCCTGTGCCTCTCCCTGCCCCTGTGCCCCACGCCCCTGTGCCTCACGCGCCTGTGCCTTCTCCTGTTCCTGTGCCTTCCGCCCCTGTTTCTCTTCTGCTCCTCCCCCCTCCTTTTTAACCGCAGCACCTGACCGGCTGCCCTTCACTTGACGCGGACTCATTCTGTCTGCAGCAGCAGCATCACCGCCAGCATTACCATCAGCACCATCAGCTGCAGCCCTGGCGTCTGTGCGACCGACAGCAAACTCCCCAAGCTCTCCTGATTCTCTGTCCCCGCTCTCTACACCACGCACTTCTCCCCTTGCTGTTCTCTCTGCATACTCCCTGCTACCACCACCACCAGCCACTCCGTCCTCCCCCTCCTCCTCTTGGACCTCTTCCTCTTCTTGCTTCATCTCTTTCTGCTTCTTCTCCCCCTTCTTCTCCTCTCCTTGCCTCTCCTCTCCCTGCTTCATCCCCCCCTGACCTACACCTGAAACTGCACGTGCAGCTGCCTTGGCACATCCTTCAGCATCTTCCTGGAAGCATCCTGAATTCACGTCCTCTTTCAAAGCAGGGCCATTACCAACACCAGCAGCAGCAGAAGCGTCACCATAAGCACGCGCAGCCGTCGCAGCTGCTCCTCCCTCTCCTCCCTCTCCTTCCTCTCCTCCTTCGCCCACCTCCTGAAGCTCTCCTTTCCCCGCCCGTGCTCCCGACCTACCTAACCCTCCGTGCTCTGCTGTTAGCAATGCGGAGACCACAGCAGCAGGTGCCTTGTGAGTCGAGTGCAGCGCCTCTGCTGCTGCTGGCAGCAGCACAGTCAGCCCAGCAGGTGATATGCGAATCGTGTCAATCAACGGTGACTTGTGATTCAGTGGTGACTTGTGAATCAGCGGCGACCTGTTGTGAGTCAGCGGTGACCTGTTGTGACTCAGCGGTGACCTATGGTGAGTCAGCGGCGACCTGTTGTGACTCAACGGTGACCTGTGGTGAGTCATCTCAAAAGCCTCAGCAGAGGGCAGCAGCATGGTGAGAGCAGCCGCACCTGCCAGCTCTGGAGTGGCCACACGTGAGTCATCCGTATCTGACACCCCTCTGCTGTCTCCCCACCCTCCAGGTCCTACCCATGGCTTGTACTCGTGTGGTACTAATTCGTACTGCTGCTCCCCCCCTTCCGGATGCCCCTCGTCCGCACACCCTTCCTCCTCTCCATGGCCTCCCTCTCTGTACCCCTCCTCTCCACTCCCCCTCTCTCCGTGTTCCCATTCCTTTGCCTCATGCCCTTCCATCTCCATCTTGCCCCCCATTTCCCCATCCTCCCTTCCACCATAACGCACACCCTCACTCTGGTCTTCTTCCCCAGCCTTTCCCTCTACTGCGCACCCCACACGAGCAAACCCCACAGGCGCAAAATCCCCAGGCAAATCGCCCCCAGGCAAATCGCCCCCAGGCAAATCGCCCCCAGGCAAACCGCCCCCAGGCAAACCGCCCCCAGGCAAATCGCCCTCAGGCACACTTTCCCCAGGCAAACCGTCCCCATGACCACTCTCCCCAGGCGCAGAACCCCCAATGCTCTTGTGACAAGGATGGATGGAGTGGTGATACCTCCATCCGAGCCCCTCACATGCACCTGCACCAGTAGTAGTACCTTCACCAGTAGTACCTTCCCCACCCTCCCGCGCACAGTGCCCCGTAGAAAGAACATGCCCGCGAGTGGGGTCTGGACTAAGGAGGCCTGAGGAGAGGAGGGTAATCACCTCCTTTTCAGTCACATCCTCCCCCTCCTCCGCCTTGACTGCACCCTCTAGGCTCCCCTTCACTGTCGTGATTGTAACAGAGGGAGAAACACCCGAGGACTTAACACCGGCTGCGGCCAGCGGGTCAGAAGAGTGAAGCCCAATAGTGGGTGCAGGAACAGGAACAGAGGCAACGGGGATCACATGGGAGGTTGTAGAGGGCCCTAGAGGGGCACTCGCATGCACATGGGCTTTAACTCCCATGGTTCTGCGACGGGAGTAGCGGCTGAACGGCATCTCTACGAAATCCTTCTCCTTCCCCACATCCGCTGCCAAGCTTTTCTGTGGCATCTCGATGAGATCTTTCTCCTGCCCCATTTCGGGCAGACACCCTGAAAATGCCCCTGCTGCTGAATTCCCAACCAGCATCGCTCCACCAGCAGCTGATATTGCAGTGCCAGCATCTGCTGCTGCTGCTGCTGCTGCTGCTGCTGCTGCTGCTGCTGCACCCCCACCGATCGCACCCTCCCGTGCGCAGCTGCCGGCTACCCTCCCTTCGACACCTAACCCCGAGGGAGCAGCCAAGCCACCAGCACTCGAGCGCGTCTCCCCTTTCCCAGCTATATCGGAGTCAACTCTCAAAGTCGTGTCCTCTACCCTTTGCAGTAGCCCAGAAGCAGCCAAGCTCACAGCCCTGGTCTCGCCCCTCTCTGTCCCTTCATTCTCAGGAACGCACTTACCTTTGTGGAGCCGCTCAGGAACGTGGAGCCCCTCAGGAACGTGGAGCCCCTCAGGAACGTGGAGCCCCTCAGGAACGTGGAGCCCCTCAGGAACGTGGAGCCCCTCAGGAACGTGGAGCCCCTCAGGAACATCTGGAACCACCCCACAAGGCCCATCCCCCTCCAGTTCTCCATGGTGCTGCTGCTCCTTCTCCCCTCCCTTCGCCTCTACCTTCTCCTCTGCCTTTTCGCTCGCCTGCCCCTCTGCCTTCCCCTCTGCCTGCTCCTCTCCCTTCTTATCCGTTTTTTCCTCTTCCTCCCCTCCGATGCCCACTTCACCACCCACGGACTCCCATGCTGCTGCCAGGAACAGCAGACCATGCCCCACCCCTTGCTCTGCCTCCCCCATCCCCTCCCCTATTCCCTCCATCACCCCCGCCCCCATTCCCTCCGGCTCTGCTGCTCCTTCCATCACCTCACCACCCCCATCCCCAACTCCTACCCCACCTGTCACCATTTCCATCCCCCCAATTCTCTCAACCGTCCTCTCACCTCTCACCCTCCCTTCCATCTCCCCCATCCTCCCATGCCCTTCCTCAATTTCCTCCCCCTCCTCCACCTCCTCATCCTTGAACCGACTACCCCCATCCAGCATTCCACACGCCTCTCCCTGCCTGGAACCGGGCTCAACCAATTGCTTTTCAGAATGAGGTCTACTATCTGGTTCTGGGGTAGCTCTTAACGCAGCGGACTGCAACCCTGCCTGCACCAATATCGCAAGCGCATGCGCATCCTCATCAACGCCCCCATCCCCGCCGCCTATACACCCACCACCCACGTGCTCCTCCTTTCCAGCACTCCCCACCAAAACCATCTCCCTGCCACCTTCCCTAGCCACATCCTCCCAGCGCCCCTCCAACTCAACCCCCTCCCTGCTCCCACTCCCCTCCCTCCGCCTCCCCTCCCTGCCCTCCTTTTGGCCCAAACTGCGTTTCTCCTTTCCTGATTCCACTGCAACCCCTCGGTCCAGCCTAGGATCCCAATCCTCTTCCTCCACCACTCCCTCCCTGCCGCCACCAGCAGCAACCACCTGCCCACGCAGCACAACCCCTCTCTCCGTCCCCTCCCTCCCTTCCTTTTGGCCTACCAGGGTGCGCTTCCCCCTCCCTGCATCCACCCTATCCCCTCGGTCCAACCTAGGATCCCAATCTTCTTCCTCCACCACTCCCTCCCTGCCGCCACCAGCAGCAAACACCGGCCCACGCAGCATCACCCCTCTCTCCCCCACCTCCAACCCTGGAACCACCAGGGGATACCCATCCCGAGCCAGAGGAACCGGCGGGGCCACACCCAACCCTAACCCTAACCCTAATCTCAGCCCGAGCGTAGAAACAAACTTAGGGTCCTGCAGCTGGTGTAAGTAGGGTGTGAGTAGGGAGAGTTTAACCACAGGCAAACAGAGGTCATCCTCTTTGCGCCACACGCTTGTTCCTTCCACCAGCAACCCTGCACTAACCATCCATTGCAGGCGGGTGAACGACACCCCGCCCTGCTCCTTGCCCATACCGTCCCGGTAGTACCAGCTTCCCTTGAGGAAGTGGTGCTTAGGTAAGTGCCCCTTAGTGGTGAATATGCCTGGGAAGAGTGACCGCAGCACTGGACCTGCCTTTGCTGCGTTACAATTCCAAAACAGGCCAGAAGGCACCTGCAACCACCGCTGCTGCTCCTGCTGCTGCTTGTCCTTCTGTTGCTCCTTTTCCTCCTCCCCCTCCTCCTCCCCCTTCTCCTCCCCCTCCTCCTCCCCCTTCTCCTCCCCCTCCTCCTTCCCCGCCTCCTCGTCCTCCTCCTTCTCCTGCTGTTCCAGCTGCTGCAGCTGCAGCTGTGGAAACTCATGAGAACGAGACACCGCACCTTCCAGACTTGGGCCCTCCTCCTCCTCTCCACCGTTTCCTCCCGCTTCAGCTCCTCTCCTCTCCCTAACCCCATTCACCGCACCACCCCTTCCCTCGCCCACATCCCCTACTCCAGGCTGCCTCTCTCCGCCACCAGCCTCTGTGGTTCTCTCTGTCAAACCAGTTGTGGCATCAGCAGCAGTTTTTTCCTTAGCAGACGATGCTAGCGCACACGCAGCAGCCTCAGCATCTGCTGCCTTGGCTGCAACAGACTCTGCAGGTGCAGCCTTGGCAGTTGCAACTTCGGGTGCTACAGCCTCAGCAGATACAGCTTCAGCTGGTATAGCTGCTGCAGTGGGGATAGTCGCATCAGCTGCTCCTGCAGCAGCAGCAGCAGCAGCACCAGCACCAGCACCAGCAGGTGCAACAACCCCAATTCCCTCCTGCTGCAAAGCGACTGGAGAAACCGAAGCTTTGCCTTTCCCTTCAGAAGCAGGCTCAGCGTGAGAGGAAACGCGACCATCAGACACAGCATGCAGAGGAACAGCATGCGTCGTTCTGGCTGCTGGTAACCCTATACTGGCTGGTAACCCTGTAATAGCTGGTTCCACTGTAGCAGCAACAGCTGCACGCTCCCCTTCAGATGACACCACCATGCTCTCTCCATCAACTGCCCCCCCATCTTCCCTCTTCGCCTCCCTCACTCCTCCCTGCAGGCCTGCCAATTTCACCCTTTCTCCACCAATCCTCTCCCCCCCTGCCTCCTTACCCCTTTTTCTTCCCTCCTCTCTCTTCCCCTCTTCGTTCCCCCTTCCTCCCTCCACGTTCTCCGTCCCTCGCTCCTCGCCTTTTCCAAGCCCCACTCCACCATCCCTACCAGCACAAACCTCCCCGACATCCTTCTCTGCCTCTCTGGAAGGTTCTTTTCGAACAGCAGCACCACCATCAACCTCCATAGCGCCATGGGACTTAAGAACAGACCCACCATCACCATCACCACTACCACCGCCACTGGCAAGCTTTCCTCCAGCTCCCACGCCTGACAGCCCATTGCTCGCGGCTTCACCAACCTGCACTTCACTTCCTGCCTCAGTCCGCAACTCCATTCCTCTCCCTTCCTCTTCAGGCATCGTCTCAGCCTCCCTGATAGCAACCTGGGCCGATCCACCAAACTCACCACCAACACTCCTCTCACTCTCACTCTCACTTGCACTCTCGCCCTGCTCCTCCTCTCCACTCGCCTCCACCAAGGGAGAAACGCACAGAGCGAAAGGAACAAACCTCGGGGCAGCAACCGAGCTGCTCCCACCTTGCCCTCCCTCGCCTCCTTGCTCTCCCTGCCCACCTGCACCTGCTTTCTCCATGCACGTTCTCTCCTGTTTCGAATCCCTTTCCTCTAACGATTCTTGCTGTACCGAATGATCTAGCTGAGCCGTTAGCATGCAAAAAATGCGACCAAAGTCAACGCCACCATCCACCATCATCGCTTCGCCCTCCTCGCCTCCTCGCCCCACACTGGTCGTCTCTCCTCCTCCCCCATTCCGTTCATGCGCAGCATCAGCAACAGCCCCTGCTTCGCCTGCTCCCGCCCCTGCTTCTCCTCTGCTCGCTCCTGCCTCTGCTGCCAATCCTGCGGCTGCTGATGCTGGCAACTTCTCTTGAACTACAGCACCGCTCTCCACCGCTCTAGTCAAAGCAGCTTCTCCCTTCTCAGCAGCCTCCACCTGCAGAGCTAGTCCCAGCCCTGAACCTCCATCCAACATAGGAGCTTCAGGCATGATTCCCATTTCGGACCTATCCGCATGCCCTGCTTCAGGTTCAGCATCAGGTTCGGCACCAGGTTCAGCGCCAGGTTCGGTTTCAGGTACAGTTTCAGGTCCACCTTCTCCCAGGATCGCCGGGCCAAACTGCTGGACCAGAACCGCATTCCGCATTACCAGCTCCGCAGCAGCAGCAGCAGCCATGTCAACCCCTGTCTCCCTCCCACCCTGCAGCGAAACAGAAGACCCCGCTGCTTGCAGGGAGAGGGATGAGCCTCGCCGGGTGGACGCCTGAGACAAAGGACTGCATGAAGGGGACTTGGATCCTGAGTCAAGTGACGACACTGCTTCCGCTGCTTTGACCCCTTCCTTTGCTTCCACTGCTTTCAATCCTTCCTCTTCCTCCACTCGCTGCTGTAGCTGTTCCGGCTGCTGCTGTTGCTGCTGCTGCTGTGGCTGCTGCGGCTTCCCCGGCATTCTCCCCTGCACTGCTCCTGTTCCAATTCCTCCAATCAGCCCACGCCCAGACCCTTCCTTGCCCACAGCTACAGCCCCGCTATAAGCCCAAGCTGGTACAGTCAAAGTGCTGAAGTCAAAATTCTTCTCCTCACGACTCTGACTAAAAAGAATCCTAGGGTCTCGAGCCTTTTCCCTCGGCCATTCACCCATGCAAAACCCCTGCAAAGCCCTCTGCCCAAACCCTAACCCTAACCCTACACCTGAACCTAATCCTAACCCTAACCCTACAGGAAGCTTCCGTGAAACGTCTACTCGCTCGCTAAGCGCCTGGCTGTCAGAGAATCGAATCCAATCGCATCCCCTGAGCCAAGACCCGGTCCACTTCGGCTCCTCCGCCCTATCACGAGCCACTACACCCTCACCAGTACCACCAGTACCAGCAGGAACAGTATCAGCAGGACCAGCAGCAGCAGCAGCAGCAGCAGCAGCAGAAGCGGCAGGATCAGCACCAGCAGTGGCACCAGGAGCTGTAATGCCTACAGCAGCATCAGTGGAAGGAGCAGCAGCAGCACCTAGAGCGGCATTTACAGACACTGCTGCAGCTGCTCCTTCCCCTGATGCTCCTGCTGCTGCCGCCGTCCCTCCTGCCTCTGCTCTATCTCCTGCTACACCCCCTCGAGCCTGCTCCTGCTGCTGCTGCTCCAGTGGTGCTGCTGAGTCAGCCTGACCCGTAACACCCGCTCTTCCCTTCTCCACCTCACTACGGCTGCTGAGCCCACTTCCAGCGCCTCCATCCCTCTCTGCTGCTTCAGTGGTACCATCCTCAGCAGCAGCAGCCGGAGCATCAGCTGCCGCGGCACCACCACCAGCAGCAGCGCCAGCAGCAGAGCCAGCAGCAGTGGCAGCAGCACTACCAGCAGCAGCATCAACCCTAACGACAGCATCAGCATCTACCGCCTCTGCTGGTGCAGCATCCCTGGCAGGCACTGCAGCAGCCCCTGCAGCGGCCCCATCCAATGCCCACGGCTCTGCCATGCTGCCTGTTGCACCTCCCAATGGGCTGGGAAGCTCGCCATAGGGTTGATGGGAGAGACCAGCATCTGAAAGTGAGGAGGGAAGAAAGAGAGGAGAGGATAGAGGGTGTAACTCCCATCAAAGACAATACGATCCTCATGGAGGTGGGCTGGGCTGGACTGGACTCGACTCGACTCGTCTCGCCTCGACTCGACTCGACTCGACTTGTCTCGACTCGTCTCGACTCGTCTCGCCTCGACTCGACTCGACTCGACTCAACTGGACTGGACTGGACTGGACTGGACTGGACTGGACTGGACTGGACTGGACTGGACTGGACTTGAGCGGGAAGCTTGCACCAAAGGTGAGTTAGCAAAAGAGCAAGCACTCACCCCAGCAACGAAACAGGAAACAGAGGAACAGGGAAAAGTGACAGCTTGATGGGATTTCCTGCTCTTATATCAGCATTCAGCAACTTACCACTGACAGCATGATGGAATTCCCTGCTCTTTTATCAGCATTCAGCAGCTTACCAGTGAGAGCTTCGGACACGATTCCCAGTTCCTTCTCCAGCTGCTCCTCTACCAGTGTTGCTGCGGCACTCAGCAGCTCTGCAGAAAAGAGAGAACACGCAGGGAAACACACTAAGTTCATCATGCCGATTGGTGAAAAAACAGCACAGAAGTTAAAAGGACAAATTTCAGATGAAGCGCAGCAAGGCAGCATGGATAAACACAAAAGGTGCACAAAGAGTAGGCATGGTGCAGCGAGCGGCTTTCGGAATGAGCGGAAGGATGAGAAAAACGGACGCACAGTAAGTTTGCCCATCATCCACGAAAGCAACAACAGAGTAGCTGCACTTCTATTTCTAGCAAAAACACAGCTGGCTGACTGCAATAAGCTCAAGTCGTCATCTTTCTCTTCCTCCAACCGCAATACTTTATCTTGAATTTCATTAACCATCTCAAGAATTCAGGGAGACAGAGTTGAAAAAAAGGGGGGGATTGGTGGGGTGGGGTGGGGTGTGGGGGCGTTGAAGGCTCACCGAAAATGATGTCTTTTTCCTTTCCAGCCACCAGCACCACGCCTTGCATCAACCGCTCCACCCTCTCATCCACACTCTGCTGCCCTACACCTGCCATCTCAGCACCTGCCACCTCAGCAGATGCGGCCTCCAGACATGCCACCTCAGCATCAGACACAAGTGCAGCTCCTGCTACAACAACACCTGTCACCACCTCACCACCAGTAGCAGCACCAGCAGAGTCAGCACCAACAACTGAACCCACAGCCCCATCTTTCCCCTCCTCTATACACTCCACTTCGCCTTTTCCAACCCCTCTAGCACAATCGGCAGCAGCAGTCGCAATAGCAGCAACAGCGGCACCATCTGTCCTCACCCGATCTTCTCCTCCTCGTCTTCCTTTCACCAATCCTTCTCCCTGATTCACTTCTTGTTTCTCTATACCTTCCCCTCGCTGCCTTTCCTCCTCTGAGTGCATCCCATCAACCAGACCTGCTATCACTGGCCTCGATTCACCCGCCCCTAGGCCGCACCCAGCCTGATCAATCTCAGCCTCATTCCCCCCTGCCTCACGCCCCCGAGCCTCAACCTCCCTACAATCGTCTCTACAAGAACCTACACTCCTTCCACCCTCTTTTTCACTTCCCTCCGCCCTTTCTCCACGCAACTCCATCCCTGCCGTACCCGCCTCTTCCAGCATTGCAGCCCCTGCACCGTCCTGCTGCTTCCCCCCCTTATCCCCACCAGCATTCTCTTGTCCCACTCCTTTTTCATCTCTACCAGCATCACGCTCCCCTTCCCTAACCGCCACACCCTCTCCCTCGTCTCTAGCTGCACCACCCTCGCCCCCTTCCCTAGCAGGAATCCCTTCTCCCAGGCCGATACCCCCACCTGGTTCGCCCTGCTCGTCACTTGCTTGCTCTTTACTTAAAGCCTCTCTCCCAGCATTGGGAGGCCAAAACGGTCCATCTGCACCTCCCACTTCTCCAAACCCGCCAAACGGACGGGAGAACGAGGGGCAGAACTGTGACGAGTCCCTATCCACAAGTGCAGGCTCGGCATCAGCAGGCACGGCAGTAGCAGAAGCCTCAGGAGCCCGGGCCTCTGGTTCAGAAGCTGTGGCGGCTGGAACGGTGGGAGGCTCGGAAGCACCCTCAGGTTTGGGGATGCCGGACGCTGGAACGGGGGCAGGCTCGGAGGCAGCGCTGACAGAAGCAAGCCTAGCAGTCACCTTGGGTGGACTACCACCTGAAGAATCGCCTGGAGGTCTACTCGATGGCACAGGTGATGACTCACGTCGTACACTTGAACTATCTGCAGCCACCTTCTCACATGCAACCTTGTCCCTACCTACTGCATCACTAATCTTCTCCCTAACAATAGTTTCACTGACCTTTTCCCTACCTACCGCTTCGATAGCACCGGTTTCTCTACCACCTGCGTCACTAGCAGTCGTATCCGTAACTAACGCCTCTCCAGCAACGTTCTCCACAGCTGCCTTCTCACCAGCCCCACGCGGTGATTTCTGTGTCAGCTCTGAAGTAGTCTTCCCACCGCCAGCCTCCCCCTCATCAACATGCTGCTTCAGCACAGGACCACGATCCACCTTCTCACCAGTCGCTGCTGCTAGGTCTCCCACTGAAAGTGGCACCTTCTCACTGGTCGTTGTTGCAGGTTCTCCCACTGTGGCCGTGCCCTCCTTCCTAGCTCGTGATGCTCCCAGTTCATCCTTCACGTTCCCTGCTTTCTCTCCCTGCGGCCTTTCAGCCTCTACTTTGCTACTCGCCCGCTCCTTGTCTAATTCTGAATCTGTTACAGCAGCGGCTGCACTGGCTTCCCTACCTTTCCCTTTCTCCCGCACTTTCTCTCGCTCCTTCACCCTCTCTCGCACCTTCTCCTTCTCCTGTCCCTTCTCCTTCTCCTTCTCCTTCTCCTTCTCCTTCTCCTTCTCCCTACCCTTCTCCTTCTCTTTTCTTTCCCCTTCTCCCTATCCTTCCCCTTTTCCCTATCTTTATCCTTCTCCCTATCCTTCTCTTTATCCACCTCCTTCGTCCTCCTCTCGCTCTCCCTTGCCTTTCCCCTTCCCTTATCCCTCTCCTTCCTCGCCTCACTCCCGCGCTCATTCAACCCAGGCCCATTCCCAAGAGGACTTTTAGAGGCACGTCTCTTAGGCGACACTGACGATGGCCTTACTCTTCCCTCTATGGACCCTTCTAAGCATCCCTCCTCCACATCTTCCCCCTCCTCCCTCTCATCCACCCCCACTTCCCCTTCATCCGCTTGATCCCCTCTCTCCCTCACCTCACCCTTCTCAACCTCCTCTCTCTGCCCCTCCATCCCTCTCCTCCCCCACCCTCTCCTTCCTTCTCCCTCCACGCCCTCCCACTCCTCATACCCGTTATAAGCTCTTCCTTCCCGCCCCTCCCGCTCGTCTAGCGCCATTTCCCCCCTCCGGAGCCGCGACCAGCCCTCCCCAGGGTCCTCAGCTCCCCCATAGTTCCCCCGCTCTCCCCGCCTACCAGAAAACTCCCCGCGCCCTTCCCCCCGAATATCCCCCCGCCCTTCCCTATCCGCGCAAGTGCCCCAGTCAGGGCCGCCACCAGCGCCGCCCGCGCCCGCATCCAGCGCGCCATGCCACACCCCCGAGCCCTCCCCGCCCCACCCATCCCCCCACCCTAGCGGAACAAAATCCTCCGCCCATGCGCCACCAGAATGCGGAAATCCCCCGCCGCGCCCATGCCCCAGCCTCACATCGTAAACGCCCGCATATTCCCCCATCCCTCCGCCATCCCCGTCCCTGCGCTCTCTGCTGCGCGGCTGCCTGAATTCGCCGCCACCCCCCTCCAACGCGGGCAGCGGCCCAGGGGGAAGGCCTCCCGCTAGCCTCCCCCCACGGGGAAATTGCCCGCCATTGCACCGCTCGTCGCCCCCCCTCCCCGCTCTCTCCGCCGCCTCCTCGTCGCGAATCTCCCCAGCCTCCATTCTTGACCTAGCGAAACCCCTCTCAGCCTCTTCCAACCACCCTGGACCGCGCCTATCCTCCCGCTCCCCCGCATCAGGGCCATAGTCTCCCCTCCCGGGTATATCCCGCCGCGCGGGTCGCCACGTGTCATCCCTAGGAGGAGGCCCGCGCCAACCAGCAGGGCCCCTGGGGTACAGCCTACGTGGATCGTCGTCCATTCCCGGCATTCGCGGCCAGCGCGGCATCGCTCCGCCACCGGGGAAACGCGGATCGAAAGGGCGGTGGAGGTCGGGGTGGGGGAAATGGGGCCCCATGGGGTGCGGAAGGGGCGGACCCATGGGGAGGTCCCGCCCGCACTTGGCCTCTGTGTGCCCGAAGTGCCCGCACGAGGCGCAGAGGGCGCGCGCGTTGCGGTCGCCTACCGCGGCGGCGTGAGCGGCTGGGGGCAAACTGCGGGGTAATCCGCCGCCGGCTCCGCCCCTTCCGCCGAAATTGGTCCAGACGCAGTTTCGGGAGAAGTGGCCGAAACCACCACAACGAAAGCATTGAACCCGCGATGAATCTGCCATTTTTTCCGCGAATTTTTAGTAAGGAAGTAATCGAAATAGGGTGCAGTCACTGTAGCACGGTCTTATTTTAGGAGTGCAGACGAACGGAGGGAAATCCGTTTCGCGAATCCATGACGTTTCGACGCGTCGTCTGCACAATAGAGAAATTCGAGGAAAAGAACACACGGAAAGTACCTTCGAGTTAAAACATTATGATAACCTAATTAGTCAACGTATCAAAACTCCAAACAAGGAACCCTCAAAACGTTTGCTGCGTGATGCGAACAGCAACCAAAGCTTGCTGGAACGAAAAGCGATCGTCGAAAGTTAAGACACAACGAGAAACAAAGTGCAACTCTCTCAACGCTAATCAGACACCGGATGCGCGGCTCCGCGAAAACAACGAACCCGCGACGCTCGACGAGCATCGCAAATCGCGACTTTCAATCAAATAATAGAACTGACGTGCATGGCGACGTTCGGCAAGGAATCGTATCGCACGCGCTCCGTACTCCGAACGAACTCTCCTCGTTGCAAATCAAGCACCGACACAGGGGAACGACGACTATCGACGAGAATCAACGAATGGGTCCTGACTCAAACAACGCGTCCAAAGACAACTTCACGACGTTAGGGTTAGTAAGAAAACAAATGCTCAAATTATCAAAGTAAGCGGTAGCATCTCTAACGGGCTCCTTTTCACGGGAAGGAAATCTTCGCCGTTTGCCTGGCCAGCCACGAATCCTCGTCCTTCGGAAAAAAAAGATGCGAGAAACCGAGAGGATAATAATCCACCGCACAGCTGCGAAATCTCTTCGTTAGCTCGTTCGGAACGACCAGCCGCTGCTGCCGGCTCTACGCTTTGTGGAAACGAGAAAGCAGAAAAGGCAACAGAAACGAAAAGCAGCAAAATGAGCAAGTCATGAGCGAGGGTCGAATATGTGATCTCGAGATAGTGTAGACGAAGGGGAGGGGAGGAGCGAAAGGGGGGTGATATTTTAGATGGGGTGAGGGGGGGAGAACCTCGAAGTTGGGGTTCAGAGGTTCTGCGCGGGAAAACCATTTCAAGGTTCCAGCCAGTCGCAGTAGATCCGACGTTTCCGCAGGGGTGACGATGGAGTCAGATCGGACGGTCATAAACCACAAAGGCGGTCTTTGGGCCAAACGTCTGACGTCAAATATCCAAGGAAGTTTCATTTCTTTGAACAACGCGAGTTCGGATCAGCGAACGAAACGAAAAATGCCACAAAACCCTCAGTGTAGCCGATTACACACTATCAAAATGAGTACAGTAGAAGGTTTGTCAACTACAGTACGCACATGGTTTCGCCCGAACCTTTTAGGTCCAATTTAGTTGCCCCACACGAGGGAAGGGGGAAAGGCAAAATACGTGGAAGGGTAACCACTCATGTTTTTCTTTATTAGATGCCGCGCTATTCTGTGTCAAGGCGCTATGTTTGCAGGACGTCACTAGCAGTGAGGGCGTTGCGTGACAGCAGACATATATTGTGATAGTAGACAGATGATGTGTTTCGTTCTGTTCTAGGGCGGCAGTCCCGGTCATATAATTTGCCCTCCATTACTGCTTCCTCGTTCGACTACCTTTGCCCGTCACCGTGCCATTCGCTCCCAGAGTGTGTCTAATTCGCTGCAAAAAAAACGCGAATAGCAACTTCACAATTCAGCGCTTCGACGCGCCCCTAAACGCTCTGTAGAAGCGCCAGTAGCACTTGTGAACACGTGCTTTTCCGACACGTTAACGTTCCTAGTCGCTGTAATCTTCAGCTGCTGTTAGCTTCACTCTGTACCCATTATAAGCTGCTCCAAACACGCTATCGGAGAGGGAAACAAAGGTCGTGTACGATGAGCGGCGATGTCAGCAGCGCTATTCCCTGGGACGGCGTGCTCGCCTGCGCCAGCGGTCTCGCCTTTCATTGGCTTAGCTCGCGCAGCGGAAAGTGAGACGCGGTTCATAGCAGCATGACCTATGCGGGCTTTTTATTGCGCACATGTTTGCCCCCCCTTATATGGCTTACTTATGTGCACGTTGTAACATGCACACATGATTCACTCCGTTATAAGCATTCTCATCTGTGAAACGTTGCAGGGAAGCCACGTCACTCAAGGCAGTCCCAAGGGTGCCGAGGCTGAGAGAGCTCGGTAAGCAAGCAAGCACCTCCCTCCCTTGGCACTTTCTTGCACCATCACGCGCTCCGCAACATCCACTTCTAAAGTTAGGCGCTGCAAAAACTTCTCCAAGGGTGCCGAGGCTGAGTGAGCTTGGTAAGCAAGTCCCCTCCTCTGGCGTTCTTTTGAGGTGCCTCAAAACAAAGAACTGAGGCGCCACAAAACTGAAACCCTAAGTTTTCAGAATTCAGGCGCCTTAAGGGTAGCCAGGCTGAGAGGGCTTGGCAAGCAAGCCTGTAACCCCAACCCTCCCTCTCCTTGACGTTCTGTTGAACCCTTCTCCGTCTGCCCTGCTGTCCATGCTTGCTCCTTGTTTATTCCCAGGACGAATGCTGCAAGGCAATAAGGGGTACTTCTCTCTGATTGTTGCGGTCTTGAATTTCAATCTGAGGTGCTTAAAAAATGCTTTATCACTGCCATATCTGTCCTGAAATCATGCAGGACGAATGCTGCAAGGCACTAAGGGGTACTCCCCTCTGATCGTTGCAGTCACGGGCAAAGTGGGCAGCGATCAGCCAATCACGTGCGAGAACAGCAGCCTACGTGGCGTCATCGTGGAGCAGACTGTGAGTGAGCATCCACGTCAGCAGCATACAGTTCACGCAGGCCACGTCAGCCTACTGACCTATTTGAATAATTGGCTATTCATGTCATTTTCCCCCGTCCCTTTCCCCATCACTTCCCCCCATATTCCCCCATCCTTTCTCTCCATCTCTCTCTTGCTGCAAGCATTCCCCTGATTCTTGTTTATCTGTGTTTCCCTTACCCTCACCACGAGCAGGCGAAGCAGTTTTTTTCTTTTTTATCACGACGATGCAGGGGCGTGGGGTTTGCAAGCCCCTTATTGAGTCAACAAGCAAACAAGGCCCTTACTGAACAAGTTGTTTTTCCATGTCTCATTTTACCCCTTGCCGCTGCAAGCAGGCAGAGCAGTTATTTCTGAAGCACAACGATGCAGGCGCATGGGTGCAGGACCCGTGTGGGTGAAAAACCCTTCTAGAAACGACAATTATTTTCTCATGTTGCATATCCCGCTCACCCACACCGCTGCACGAGCAGGCAGAGCAGTTTTTCCTGAAGCACAATGATGCAGGGGCGTGGGTGCAGGACTCAGCATTTCTCATCCGGAATCTGAAGTCTGTGCCCTGGTACATTGTGAGTCAACGCTGGTCAACGCTGGTACATTGTGAGTCAACGCTGGTCAACGCTGGTACATTGTGAGTCAACGCTGTCAACGCTGGTACATTGTGAGTCAACGCTGGTCAACGCTGGTACATTGTGAGTCAACGCTGGTCAATGCTGCTGGTACGTCGTGAGTCAATGCAAGTCAACGCTGGTCAAGGTTGGCACAGTGTGCGTTGATGCAGTCGACTCCAGTCAACTCTGCTATTCCGTGAGTCAACATGAGTCAACTCAGTTGAAGGTTGGTGCAACTTGCAATATACGTTGGTGCAATTTGCACTCTGTTGCTTTGAATTTAAGGACCCCGTGGTTTGCTTTGCCTTCCTGAACCACCGCAGGACGATGGCACGGGCCGAGCCAACGTGGTGGGGGCACGTTCGGCAGCAGGCTTGGAGCTAACAGTGGGCACGGAGGTCTTTGATGACAGTGGCAAGTCGGTGGTGCGCAGCACTGTGGATTACCTGCAGGTGGGTTAGTGTGAGTGTGAGTGGGATTGGGAGTGTGCTGCGTTGTAGCTGTGCAGTGGGCTGCAGGGTGCAGTTTGTTGAAGCTGGCAGAGCAGGCGTGCAGATGGCGGTTGGCGCGGAAGTGTTTGATGACAAGTGGCGAGTCTGTTGTTTGCAGCACTGTGGACTACCTGCAGGTGGGTGGGAAGCGGTTGGGGTGGGTTGTGCAGTGCACGGTGTTCTTAGAGCCTGTGAGCGAGTGGGAGCAGGCGTGCGGTGGCCTGTAGCAAGCAGAGCAGGCTTGGAGCTCACAGTGGGCACGGAGGTGTTTGATGACAGTGGCAAGTCAGTAGTGCGCAGCACGGTGGATTACCTGCAGGTGGGTGGGAAGCGGTTGCCGACGGTTGGGCTGGGCTGGGGGTGGGTGGGTGTGTGGGTGGGCTAAATGTCTCTCTTGATTTTAGTGTATCCTTCTGCACCACGTTCCACCACATGGCACCCCAACCCACCCACCCCCACTCCTCACCTCATCCCATTTCACCCCACTACACCCCTCTGCACCCCATCAGGGCATCAAGGTGCTGGGAATAAAGCGAGTGGAGAAGGTGCTACCAGTGGGCACCAGCCTCACAGTCGTGGGTGAGGTGAGATATGATGCGGTGAAGTGCGGTGAAGAGGGGGTTAGAGGTTAGAGATGAATTATAGCAGAATGATGTGAGATGCAGTAAGAGAGATAGGGCCAGGTCAAGAGCGGTGCAAAGGTGTGATGGCATGGGCGAGTAACACAGCCAGAGTTTCCCATCTCCTTTCCCCTCTCTACCCCCTCAGGCTGTGAGGGAGGGGAAGCATCACGCTGCAGCGGCCGCATCAGGGCGGCCCATTCTTCGTCTCCCCACGCTCCTTGGACGCTCTCATTACCTCTCTCGGCACGTTTAGCCAGTGGTGCCGCTGGCTGTCGTGATTATCTTTGTTTCATGCTCTCCCTCCTGCACCCCCTCAGGCTGTGAGGGACGACAGGGGCAGCATCACACTGCAGCGGCCGCACCAGGGAGGCCCCTTCTTTGTCTCGCCACGCTCCTTAGATGCTCTCATTGCCTCGCTCGGCACGTTCTCCCAGTGGTGCCGATGGCTGTCGTATGGGTGCACGGCGGTGGGTGCGGTGCTCATAGTGGGGCGCATCGTGGGGGGCGTGATGGAGAGGAGGAGGAGAGCGGCTATTAGGAGGAGGTGCGTTGACTTGCATTGACTTACGTTGACTTTGAGTTTGGCACGTTCACGTTCTCCCAGTGGTGCCGGTGGTTGTCGTATGGGTGCACGGCGGTGGGTGCGGTGCTCATAGTGGGACGAATTGTGGGGGGCGTGATGGAGAGGAGGAGGAGAGCGGCTATCAGGAGGAGGTGAGGGGGGTTGCTTGATTCGATTTGACCTGCGTTGACTCCGATTGACTTCGTGTTTGGCTGTGGCTATGGAAAATCGTTCGTTGCTTGTCGCATCGAGCTAGTACACTGGCTGCGGGGAGTTTTTGAGAATTTCCAAAAACTCCCAGCTAGTACACTGACTGCGAGCTAGAGCCCCTGCTGCCTGTGCATTTTCGGTCTTTTGTACTCATTGCATTCATTGCATTCATGCGTCTGTTCATCTATGCATGCATGTTATGCGTTGATGCATGCATGTCTGCTTATGTGCATGTATGCATGTGAGCGTATCTGCATATGTGTGTGTCACAGGGTTTTAGAGGCGGAAGCAGCAGCGTCAGCAGCAAGGGATCATCAGAGCAACTCATCGGCCTCACAAAACGACACTGCCACGTCAGATGCAGCCAAGGAAGCTGCTGACGGGGACCTGCCAGCTCAGCTTCCTGACACCTGTGTTATCTGCCTGGAGCAGAAATACAACTCCGTCTTTGTCCCGTACGTCATTCGTTGCGATTCTGAACTCTTATCTGCGTCCTCATTCAATGCCCGTCGTTGCTTTGCTACGTCTTGTTCTTTTCCCTTCCCTCGCCCCTGCAGGTGCGGCCACATGTGCTGCTGTGTGCACTGTGCAGCTCAGCCCACTCAGTGGCCCCTCATGCTGCCATGCCCTGTACTCTTTCCCCATTTCCCCTCTTTCCCCCCTCCCTGCAGGTGCGGCCACATGTGCTGCTGTGTGCACTGTGCCGCTCAGCTCACCCAGTGCCCCCTCTGCCGCCGCCGCATCGACCAATTAGTTCGAACCTACCGCCACTGACACATGTCGCCCTTTAAAAAAACACTGTAGATTCAGTGTCTGGCGCCAACAAAAACACCCCATCAGGCCGTCCCCTAGACCAACTGGTACAGTACGTAGTATGTTGTTTGCTTCCCTATGCTGGTACAGTGTATGCATACGCTTTGGTAGTACGTTTTCCTGTACATAATTTCCATGATGTTATACTCGTATGCTCTGATGCTTGTAATAGTCTCAAAATTAGGCATAGAGGCATAGCACAGTACCATTGTTGTACACACACATACAGATGAAGCCAGCATTCATTTGTGTGGTATAGAACATAAGCGACAATGATTAATTTGTTGACCGTCGTGTATCCCCGACGTCATTCTGAAACCCAGTACGCACATCAAAAAGCTTTTCAACGGTCCATGTTCTTCTATTGACGTCGGCGGTGCCGTGCCAATTCGGTTCGACAGACTGTTTCCCCTTTACAATCAATACCCTTGTTCCAATCATTCACGTCCGTTTCGCGCCTCGTGCTCCACATCTCATCGCGTGCCTTCCACTGCACTTCCACACCGCACCTTCCCCCCAACCGAACCATCCTTCCCCCGCAGCCCTCCCTTATCGCGCCACTTCGGCCAGCTCACGCCTTCCCAGTCTCCACCAATCGGCCACTTCGATCTGCTCCACGTTTGATCGAGTCTGTCTGGGGTTACGATGACTATCCAGGAAGTCAGGAGTGTTTACCCTGTTTAGCATGTCTTTCGGGGTGACCTTTCGCGGCTTGTGCTCTTCAAAAAGAGTTTCGTTCGAGGCGCCTGAAACACAGTAATTCTGGAAAATATCTCAAAACTTTCCGAATTCTGGAGGTGCACGTGAGCGACCTCGCGGATACACTACAGTGATAAGGAAGGTTGGTTGTATTTACGGGGTGCCCAAAGCTCAGCGAGGTGTGTCGGGGACAACTCCACCCCTCCGTTCCCCTCCCCTCCCTGTCCCTACTCCCCTCGCTGCGTAGCAACGGGTGGCATCACCACAATCTCTCCTCCCTAGCCAAAAGCGACCAGCCCTCTCATTACGCTGCCGAGAGTAGGTCACGTCAGGAGCGTTCTTCGCTCTTATACCTGCTCAAACCCAGCACAGGCATTGCCCGTGCTCCCGTCAACCTCACGCCTTGTTTCTCCTCCACGTCGTCAGAGGCCGGAAAAAGGCGTGTGCGCCGCGCGGTGACGAGGAAAACACCAAACTCGGAACACCCACCAACCGACCAACCGCGGCTAGCCATCTGCGATCCCACCTGATCACACGCCATGGCCCTTTCCACGCGCTTCGCCGTTCTCGCAGTCGCCGCGCTCCTCACATTGCTCCCCGCGCACGCTGCGCCCGCCCCGCCGCCTTGCGCGCTCACGGGGCTTGCGCCGAAGAAGCCCGTCGTTCCGCCGTCGCGGTGCCCCGCGGCGGCGCAGCTGTCGTGCTGCGCGGACTGCTCCGACACGAGTCTCGCGCTGCAGCTCGTTTCCACCAACCTCGCGGATGTCGTTCAACAGATCGACCCCTCCCTTGGCGGCTTCATCGATGCGGGTCTAATGGTAGGCTTTCCTTTCCGCGTGCGACATTTTCTTCTTGTTGCACGTAACTCCTCCTCTTTTAACCTCGCGATAGTCGCTCAGCAGATCGCTCCCTCCCTCCGCGGCGTCGTCAATGCCGGTCTCATGGTATCGTTGTAGGCCTTCCTTTCCGCGTGCAGCATTTTTTCTTGTTGCACTTGAATCTTCCTCCTCCAACCTCGCGCAAGTCGCTCAGCAGACGATCCATCGGCGGCAACATCAATGCCGGTCTCATCCTTTCCGCGTGCAGCAACTTTCTTTTGTGTTTAGATCCGCCCACATTCTGCCGCTGGGGGTTCCGCCTCTGCAGTACCCACCCGCGCGTCTTTCAAAATTGGAAGTCGTATGCGTGGAGCAGCAAAAAAAAAAATGTTAAGTAATGCTGTGTCAAATACACACAATGCTCTATCTTTCTCGCCGATGGGTGGCTCACAATGTTACAGATGCGCCCATAAACGGAAGTACGTAAATGGATGTATGGTTGGCTGGCTGCCTGCCTACTCCCCCTCTCATCCCTCTTCCTTTCGCTCCCCCTCTCTTCTCCGCTCTTCTTCCCCTGCGCCCCCGGCCGTTTCCCTCCCGCGCCGCCAGGTGTGCGAAGCGTTCAAGCCGTACCCCAAGTGCATGCTCATGATCGAGGAGATCGTCTGCGGCACCACGTGCAATCCAGGTCAGTACTACCTCTTCGCATCGCGTCGTTGTTCTTGATATGTTTTAAATGTGCGAAGCGTTCAAGCCGTGCCGTACCTCAAGTGCATGCTGATGATTGAGGAGATCGTCTGCGGCACCACGTGCAACCCAGGCGAGTGCTGCTTCATCGCATCGCATCGCTGCCTCCCCTCCCTTTCCCTTCCCACATCTCCTCTTTTCTCCCCTTCCCCCGTCTAGCCCGCCCGTCCCCCCCCGTCCCCTCCTCATCCCCACACCCCACCCCTCCTGCCATTTTTCTTTTCTTTTCTTTGTGGAACGATTTGTTTGAGGCGTCACAACATAATGCAGCGAGTGCTTCCGTCATAAATGTCTGGAGAAAAGTTTTCTAGATGCATGTTAGGAGTTGTGCGCAACCTGTTACTGGCGAAAGGTTTTTACCAGCAATATTTGTAATGATAAAAAGCGACGCATGTATGTTTACCTTGTTGCTGCTCTGCAGATTCGGGAAGCTACGTTACGAAGTCACCGTCGGGGGAATACATCATGACGGTCTGCCCGGAATTTGCGAACGCGACCTACGACACGTGCAAGGACGTCGAAAGTAAGAAAGTAGCAAAATAGAAGCCAAGACTTCGCGCCGAATGCAACGCGGTTCAATCTCAGCGCACCAACTGTAGCTGTACTCGCGCAGTGTCCTCGTCGTCGTTTTCTCACTTCCCTCCCCGCAATGTACTTCTCCCCCCCCCCCCAAGAAAACAAACCAACACGCAAACCGTGGAAATAAAGCTGCTACCACCTTCCCTAGCGTTGGTTACCAAATGATGCGACTAAATATTGATCCCTAGCAATCCAACGTGCGGGTCCTGACGACCCCAGGGTTTAGGAAATCGCTCTCAAGGTCGCAGCCGTCGCCACTGTCGCTGCCTCCCTCCCTCCTTACAACCCAGTCTCCTGGCCTAGACTTCTCTCCGCCTGCCCATTCAGCAACTTCGGGCGAAACATTCTCTTTCCAAATGGGAATGATATAAACACGCTTGTTCCAAACGTGATGGTTTCTAATCTTATCATCTTCCCCTGTCCTTCCTTTCCCCCCTCCGGCAGTCAGCAGCTTCGCGTTGCACCTGTTCGTCATGACACAGACACCCATGATGACCGTGGTTGTATCCAGCATTGGTGTTTCACACATTTTTTTTCGTGTCTTCCCCTCCTGCAGTCAGTCGCTTCGCGTGCACTCTCGTCATCCCTGACACAGACACACATGATGATCTTGGTTGTATCCAGCATTGGTGTTTTCACTCATGTTTTCACCCACATCCATTCCTCGTGTGTTCCCCTCCTGCAGTCAGTGGCTTCGCGCTCAACCTGTTCATCCCTGACGCGAATGCCATGACGACCATGGTGGTTTCCAATGATGCTTCCCCACTTACAATCTTCCGCGTTTCCATTCAAATCCATTCAATTCATTCCCCTTGTGCTACACTCCTCCCTCGTTGCCTTCTCCCCTGTTTCCCCTCCTGCAGTCAGTGGCTTCGCGCTCAATCTGTTCATCCCTGACGCGAATGCCATGATGACCATGGTCGTTTCCAATGTCATCGCAGTCATGGGTGTGAAGAACTTCAACATCACCATTGCTCCTGTGAGTCTTCAACCTCTTTCCACCTCTCTAGCACATATACAATGTTCATGTGCGTGGTGTTTCTGGTCTCCAATGTTAACGCTGTAATGGGTGTGAAGAACTTCAACATCACCATTGCTCCTGTGAGTCTTCTTTCCTCCTATCTAGCATGTGTGCGGCCAAAGTGTGCTGTGACTGCAACATTGTCATGGTTGGGGTGTCAGTCAAGAATTTCAACATCACCATCGCTCCTGTGAGTCTCCAAGATATAGGTCCACACATGTGTACCATAGTGTGTGTGATGTTTTTGGTTGTCAATGTCATCGCAGTCATGGCAGTTAAGAACTTCAACTGTGAGTGCAATGACTCCTTATCGTCTCGCTGATTGTCTGCCTATCACTGCATCATCTCTCTTAAATCTCTGAGCAAGGTTGTCTCCTGTAATGCCACCATGTTCGTTGCCTAAACATCATGTACCAGTAACAAGTGCGAGTGTCACTGACAATTGTACTTGTTTCGTCATCACAGTCAACTCTACGAATTATTTCTCCTCTGCTCTGCGAGCCTGCTTTGCCAATGATAGTGTGTCTACTTATTCCATTGCCTATCATCTTCCATAGCGTATCTACTTCTCCATTTAGACATAGAATCTCTGTACTAAACTTCAACACCCACATCCCCGATCCCTCTCCGTTCCGCCTTCCCTACTCCGCACCACCAGGGTGCATGCTTCACAGGAGCCGCAGCCACGCCAGCCTACACCCCCTGCTGCGACCCCCTCCCGGTCGACCCCAAGTGCCCGGCAGGGTCAGTGGATACAGTAAAGTACGCGCCCTACATCAACCGCACCATCGATTCTGCAGCCTGCATGGCCGGTGCACCCCAGGCTGCACCTGCTCCCGCTCCGCCTGTTCCCGCTGCACCCACTCCTGCACCTACTCCCGTTGCGCCGGCTCCTGCTCCGCCTGCACCCACTGCGGGAACACCCCCGCCTTCGCCCCAAGCACCAGGGGTGGCGCCTAGCACCCCTCCGGCCTCTCCCAGCCCAGCACCTGTGAATCCCTCGCCGCCGCCTCCTCCGCCCAAGTCCGGGGCTGGTTCCGCTGCTTCGGTGATGTCACTGGTGGCTCTGGCGGTTGGTGCCGCAGCAGTGTTGGCGTAAGGTGGCGCTGCAGCAGTGTTCGATTCGCTATTGTTGGTCCTGGTTACAAATGTTTGGGAGTTTTGTGATTCAGGGAGGATCTTCTGTACTGGCGGAAGTGTGCGCAGCTCTAAATTGTATAATCTCAAGGCCACCATAATGTAGACATGGATGGTGCAAGAGATTTTACTTCAACTACCAGGCTGTTGCTGCCTGTACCAGAACTTTCAAAAGGTCAGGCTAGGTATTTGTTGCAAGTCTACTCTGGAAGTTAAAGAGAAAATCTTGTGGCGCAGATGCTCTTGCGGTCGCCTATTTGCCATGCGCGTTTTATAAGTTCTGTGCACTTGATAACTCATCACTCAGGTTTCATGGGATTTTGAAGTGTAATTCTTATCTGTGCACAGAGAATAGTACTTGGATAATAAACCGACTTATATGGTAAATATTGAATGTGTCTGTACATCTGTAAAGAGGATGTTGAAGCCACCATACCGAATCAACGAAGCACGGCAATGTCCAGTCCAGTTTACCCGCGCGAAATGTCGCGCACGTGCGGCGAAGCTTTCTGTGCCTGCACGATTCGCGAGTCGTTCCGCGAGCCCCACTGTTTCACTCAGATGAGTCAAGGAGAAGCCTCTCGCGGAAAATCGCCGACGCCAGATATTTTCGCAGTTTGATTCGCCGGGTCGCGATTTTTCTCTCGACGAGTCACGCTGAGGAACGTGGGATTTGGGGGGAATTGAGGTGGGACGCGTGACCGTCAGTTGTGACGGTCCCAGCTCGCGAATGGGCCGTCCCTTAGGTGTAGCGGCAGGGCCGGTGTTGGCCGGCCGATTTTGGTAAATCCCGGCAGAGATGCACGGCAGGAGCAGCACTATTTGTCCTAACAGCCGCTTCTCTTCTCGTGGCATAGGCATTCCCATGCTCCCGTCAACCTCGCACCTTGTTTCTCCGTCACGTTAGTAGGGGCGGCCGAGGGAAGGTGTGTGCTGTACGTGCATATTAATATCTGAGCCGAGCAAATTTAAGTTTGAAACTCAAGACTTCCACCGACTCGGCGGTCCGCAGCTATAGCCAACTACAGTAGACGTGTCTGCGCGCGAACTGGCCAGCTGAGAGTTTGCAGCGAGTGTCTGCGACCTGACCATCATTTAACCTCATTCGCCATGGCCCACTCAACGCGCTTCGCCGTTCTCGGAGTCGCCGCGCTCATCGCGCTTCTCCCCGCGCTGCTCCCCGCGCACGCTGCGCCCTCCGCCGCCGATCTCTGCCCGCTCTCGGGCCTTCCGCCGAAGAAGCCCGTCGTTCCGCCGCACCGGTGCCCCGCGGCGGCGGAGCTGTCGTGCTGCGCGGACTGCGCGGACACGAATCGCGCGCTGCAGCTCGTGTCGTCGACCCTCGACGACGTCGCGCAACGGATCGACCCCAATATCCCCGGCGGCGGCTTATTTGATCTCAGCCCCATGGTACGCTTTCCCCGCATTCCGCGCTGGGGGGTCTGCTGCAGCGGTCCGCTAGCCGCGGATCTTGGTTCAATCAGAACCATACATCGCAATGCTGGTTCTGTCAGAAAAAGTCAGGCATTCCGTCAAAGGCTGTATCATTTGTAACACCCACCTCCACCCGCAGTGCAAGGGTTCCAATCTCAGAGTTAGGGTTGACTTGGTCAATGCAGCCTTGAGCCTAAGTTAGGGTTGAATTAGCCTAAGCTCGGCGCAGCATTGTTCCAGACTCTCGGGTTTCAGACTCTCTGCTTCAGATCTCCCGTCAGTTTCCATCTCCCCCTCATCCCCCTCTTCTCACTTCCTCCCCATTTTCCCCTTCACCCACCAATCTCCTCCCCCCCTCCCTCGCTCCACTCCCCCATGGTTCGCCCATTTCCTCCGCGTGCCGCCAGGTGTGCGACGTGTTCCAGCCGTACCCCCAATGCATGCTCATGATCGAAAAGATCATCTGCGGTGCCACCTGCAACCCAGGCGAGTGCTGCTTCATCGCATCGCGTCTCGATTCATGAGACGGTTTAGAAATCAGGTGTTTGAAGTATTGAAGCCGTACCCCCAATACATTCTCATGATTGAAAGGATCATCTGCGGTGCCACGTACAACCCAGGTGAGTGCTGCTTCTTTTCGTCAATTCTCATGCCGCCTCTTTCTATTATTCTTGATTTCCCGAGTATTATGTTTTGAGGCGTTTCTGAACTAACCAGAGGGGTGCTCCTTCATTTTATTGCTGGAAAGGCGCAGCCACATTGGCCACATTAACATTTCTTTTGGCTCTTTTGCTTTGCAGATTCGGAAAGCTATGTGGTGAAGAAGACGGGAGGAGAAATCGTTATGACGATCTGCCAGGAATTCGCGAATACCGCATACAAAGCATGCAAGGACGTAGAAAGTAAGACTGACCCCATTCCCTCTCATATCATTCTGCCCCGTTCCCTCTTCATATAATTGAAACCGTTCCCATTACCTCAAATTCTTGCTCGTGTCCCTGCTCCCTCTCATGTCATTCTGCACATCTTCCCACTCATATCGTTTTGCCCATACTTGCCTTCGCCGCTCTTCCCTTTGCGCTCTTCCCTTCGCCCCTCTTTCCTTCTTCCCTGGTTCCTGCTCCCCGTGCAGTCCAGGGCGTGGCAGTGAGCCAGCTCATCCCCGACGTTCAAAACATGATGGTCTATGTGACCAACTACATTGCGAATTTCATGGGCATTGAGAACTGAGATGTCTCACACCTTCCCCCTGGTTCCTTCCGTCGCCCCTTGCAGTCCAGGGCACGGCAATAAGCCAGCTCATTCCCGACGTTGAAAACATGATGGTCTATGTGACCAACTACATTGCGAATTTCATGGGCATTGAGAATTTCAACATCGCCATCGGTACAGTGAGTGCTGCATACTCCTTATTACCTTATCGTCTTGCCGTTTTGAGACGTCTCAAAACTCGAAATCCTCAATATCGCCGTCGCTTCTTTGAGTGCTGCTTACTATAGCCAGTTCAATTTTCCATCTTCCAAACCCTATGAATTTACTGTACTTCTTTTTCTTGCCGCAGCGACCATGCTTAACAGGAGCCGCACCCACGCCAGCCTACACCCCCTGCTGCGACCCCCTCGCCGTCGACCCGAAATGTCCCGCGGGGGCTGTTGACAAGGTCGCGTATGCTGCCTACATCAATCGCACCATTGACTCCGCAGCCTGTAAGGCCGTGGCTCCCCCCACGCCTTCTACCGGCACTCCTCCTGCGCCTGCACCTGCTGCCCCGTCTCCTGCTGCCCCTGCTCCCGCTGCGCCTACACCCACTGCAGGAACCCCCTCACCTCCCACCAGCCCTCCTGCCTCTCCTAGCCCAGCATCCGCAAGCCCCTCCACCCCTCCCCCTCCTCCCAAGTCCGGGGCTGGTTCTGCTGCTTCTTTGATGTCGGTGGTGGCTCTGGCGGTTGTTTCTGCACTGGTGCTTGCGTGATGTGGGTTAGCGCAGTAGTGTTGGACTCCATTTGTTGGGGTTGGGGAGTTACAATGGCACTGAACGGAAGTCTCCGCAGCAAGGCTGGCTTACAATTCATAAACTAAAAAAGCCACCAGAATACCTGGATGGTGCAAGTGCTGTATGCTCCAAAACTCCTGAAGGGTCAGACTAGTTTTAATTCCAGTGTAACTTATGATGTATTTATGATAGATCTGCAAATGGGAACTACCAAATGCATGAGACAAAGAGTGTAGTAGGTTGGGTTCGGTCACGTGCAGCCGAAAATGCTAATATGGAATCACGTTTTGTGCGACAGGCGAAATGATCGAGTCACGGCGACGATGTCTAGGGTTTCCCTGCGAGAAATGTCGTGCATTTGCGACTCTCGCAGTCGATGCCTTTTTGCCTGTGCGAATCACTCCGCAAGTCCCTCTGTTCCACCTGTGGGGTTGTTTGATTGGGAGAGCGTGGGAGTCGTTCATGACGGAAACCAGCTGGCGAAGAGGTCCAGTTACCTAGTCTGCTCACACATCGCCGAATTCCCGGCCCAGCTGTATGGTAGGGTCCATATCCACACCCCGCACTCACCCCGTAGCACATTCATTTCCCCCATGCTCCCGTTAGCAGTAGAGGCTGAAAGGTGTGTCTGCCGTACGTGCATAAGCAATGCTTGCCGTATCTGAGCCGAAATAACGGCCACCAAAGCGGCATTGTTCGCAGCTAGTAGTAAGTGTCTGCGACCTGACCGCCATGGCCCACTCAACGAGGTTCGTAGTTCTCGCCTTCGCCGCGCTCTTCCTCGCGGCGCTGCTCCCCCCCGCAAATGCGGCTCCCGCGGCCGTCCCGCGCTGCGCGCTCACGGGCCTTCCGCCGAAGAAGCCCGTCGTTCCGCCGCACCGGTGCCCCGCGGCGGCGGAACTCTCGTGCTGCGCGGACTGCGCGGACACGAATCAAGCGCTGCAGCTCGTCTCGTCCACTCTCGACGATCTTGCTGGAATGATCAACTACATGCTCCCTGGCGGCGCCCCGCAGGTGCGCTTATCGAGACGCCTCAAAAACCGAATCAAGCGCTGCTGCTCGTCTCGTCCACCCTCGACGACCTTGCCGGAACGATTAACTACATGCTCCCTGTCGGCGGCCCGTGGGTACGATAGATATATCTCAACCCCATGTAGGGTACGATAGATATATCTCAACCCCATGTATTAATCTCAGCCCTGTCGGGACCATAGATAAATCTCAACCCCATGGCGTGTTCGCTTTCCCCGCGGCGTTCCGCAATGCTGTTGCGGGGTTCCGCTGCCTCGGGGTTTCCGCCGCAGAGGTCCCCCCCGCGGCCTCGTTTCTATCGGAACCCATCGCAATGCTTATTCCGCGGCCCCCTCCCCTCCCCCTTCTCCCCCCCTCCCTTCCCCCCCCACACTTTCCCCTTCTCCTCCCATTGTTCCTTTTCCTCCACGTGTCAGGTATGCAACGCGCTTCAGCCATACCCCCAGTGCATGCTCATGATTGAAAGGACCATCTGCGGCGCCACGTGCAACCCAGGCGAGTGCTGCTTCTTTGCATTGAGTCACTGGTTCAGAGGCATCTATAGAATCAGGTGTGCGATGTGTTCAATTCTTCCCCCTCCAGTGTATGCTCATGATTGAAAGGATCATCATCTCCTGTGCCACCTGCAACCCAGGCGTGTGCTGCTTCACTTTTTCGTCACTCATCATCGCTGCCTTTTTTTTCCCAAGTTATTTGTTTGAGCAGTTGTTCAATCCTGCATCACCAACAACTCAGAAGAGTGTCTCTTAATCTGTGTCCCACAACGCTAATAGTAGTTATCACTAAAACTGATCCAACTTGTGTTTGAATTTGTTCCTTCACAGATTCAGGAAGTTACATCGTGAAGACTGATTTAGAAATCATCATGACCCTCTGCCCGGCATTCGCGAATGCCATCTACGAAGCATGCAAGGACGTCGAAAGTAAGACCTGTTGTACTGCCTTTCTGGAAATAAGGACGTCAAACGTGCAAAGTTGTCAAATCTTGCAACACCAGATAAACCACGTTGCACATTGCACTGCCTTACTCGCATCTGTCTTCTCTCCCCTTTCCTCTCTCCCCCCTCCTCCCCCACCCAACCCCCCTCAACCCCCCCCCATGCAAACCATGATGAGCATAGTAATCTCCTACCTAGCAGTCTTGCTCGCATCCCTGTTCCCACTCATATCGTATCATTCTGCCGTTCTTCCCTTCGCCCCTCTTTCCTTCTTCCCCTGGCTCCTTCCTTCTCCCCTTCCAGTCCAGGCCCTTGCAATGAACCAGTTCTACCCCGACGCTCAAAGCCTCATGGCCATTGTCGCTCTCTACGCTTCAAACTTCGTGGGAGTTGAGAATTGAGACGTCTCGAAATTTTTCCTGGCTTCTTCTCCCCTTGCAGTCCAGGGCCTTGCAATGAACCAGTTCTACCCCGACGTGCAAAGCCTCATGGGCTATGTGGCCTTGTACGCTTCGAATTTCGCCTATTCGATGCTTGGTGCATACCAGACTTTCAATATCACCATCGCTCCTGTGAGTGCTTACTCTCTGTTTTGATGCACCGCCTCACTGCATAGCCTGATGGTCTATGTGGTTTTCTACGCTTCGGATCCCTGTGATCTGAGCTACACTGAGGAAAGCTGAGCGGGTGTGACCATATCTCCTGTTAGTGCTGACTCCTTACCTTATTCTCTTGCTGAAATTCTAGTTTTCACTGCATGTCTGCTTTTACCTGGTTCAGTTTTCAATGCAAGTAGTGCGGCAGTGCATGCCAGAACATTGCAAGGGGTCTTAGTTTGCAACGTTGTTCAATCATTTGCGCTCCCTTTGTTTGCCACAGGGTGCATGCTTCTCAGGAGCCGCAGCCGCGCCAACCTACACCCCCTGCTGCGACCCCCTCGCGGTCGACCCCAAGTGCCCCCCAGGCGCTGTGGACAAAGTCGCGTACGCGCACAACATCAACCGCTCATTATTCACTGCACTCCCTTCTCCTTGCCACAGGGACCATGCTTCTCAGGAGCTGCGGCAGCACCAGCCTACACCCCCTGCTGCGACCCCCTCGCTGTCGACCCCAAATGTCCCCCAGGCGCTGTGGACAAACTCACGTACGCGCACTACATCAACCGCACCATCAATTCCACCGCCTGTAAGGCCGCTGCGCCCCAGACGACTCCCCTGCCTACTGGTACCGCCACTGCTCCCCCGCCTGCTTCCCCCGCGCCTGCTTCCCCCGCGCCTGCTTCCCCCGCGCCTGCTTCCCCAATGCCTGCTTCCCCTGCAGCAACTCCCCCAGCTTCCCCTAGCCCAGCGCCTGTGGCTCCTTCGCCCCTGCCCCCTCCGCCCAAGTCCGGGGCTGCTTCTGTCGCTTCGCTGATGTCGGTGGTGGCTCTGGTGGCGGTTGGTGGTGCAGTGTTCGCGTAAATGAAGGTGTGGTGCAGCAGTTCTGGTCCTTGTAACGAAGGTGATACAAAGAGGACTTTTTGCACTGGTGGATGGAGTTTTGTCCTGTCCTTCGGCGTGGATGTGCACGCGACCAGTTTGGTTGTTGCAAAAGGTTGGCTTACGATTTATGGACTGAAATTCCATACCACTTCAAAGGACAAATCATGACAATTACGAATTGCAATGAATGCAGACAACTGACTGGGCCCAGTTTGCCTCCCGCCTGCAATGAATAATGCACTAGCTCCTTATATGCTGTATTTTGTATTATAATATGTACGCTGGTCTAGGTTTTGAATCATTCTGCGATAATGAAGGTCCCTATATGCATAACTATTATGTTGAAGCGGAGTCCTTCCTTTTTTTTTAAGACTTAGGTCGGACTAAATCCTATTGAGAAAGCCTTCATCGCAGCTCAGTCTCTGTACAGTATAGAGGCTATCACTGTATAGGGTATGAAGCTTGCGGCTGGCAAGTGGGCATTTGTCCATTCCAACTTTTTTCAGCGCGGAGTTCCAGCAGCACCGATATTGACCATACTTGCTTGGATCAGGAAAAGGCTCTTTCCCGACCTCATTAGGCGCCAGTGGCCTGAGAGTTCGCTTTAGGTGTCCGTCAAGCGCCGAGGAATAGTTTCAGGATTTCCGTCTTATCCGGCGGGTTTCCGTCCGCTATTTCCGTCAACTTTCAGTTATAGTTCAGCGCTACGTTGGACTCGTCTCAGTGCTCCTTTCAGCGGTGTTTCAGAGTTCCTCGGATTTCTTCAGTTATTCCGCGTTCGCTCTGTGCTATTTCCGGGTTGCCTCTCGCCGTCCATTTGCAAGCCGATCATGCCAGGCGCGGGGAGCGGGGGGGGAAGGGGAGGGCTGCGCGTGAGCACGCTGAATGGCGTGAAGGTGTATAACGTGTCGGGCGGCAAGGCCGTGCCCGAGTGGATTTCCGACAAGAAGAAACGCGCACTCAGGAAGGACGAAGGTACTGCATTAGGGTTGGGGTTTTGATGGTAAGAGGGTAAGGGTTGAGATTGGATTAGGATTAGGGTTTCGAAGAAGTTAGGGTTAGGCTAACGGCCAAGGCTGTGCTCAAGTGGATTTACGGCGAATCGCGCGCTCAGGAACGTCGAAGGTTCATGATCAGGGTTAAGCTTTCGAAGGGACGAGGGTTTGGGTTTGAACGGTTATGGGTTTCGGGTTTAAGTTACCTCCGGCGCATCGAGCTGTTTAAGTTACCTCCGGCGCATCGAGTAAGTTACCTCCGGCGCATCGAGCTGTTTAAGTTACCTCCAGCTCATTCAGGACCTCGAGTTCGAAGTCGCTTCCACGCGAATCAAGGCGTGCTTTCGAGAGTCGCTTCACAAGCCACGTCATGCACGCACATTCATGCATGCATGCCACACCGTCTCTTCTCTCTCCGTCATGTGAAACTAGCTGGTTTTTGAGAATTCTCAATAACCAGTCGCCTCACGAGCCACCTCATGCACGCACATTCATGCATGCCACACTGTGTCTTCTCTCTCTGCCATGTGTGCGTCTTTGCGTCTGTGTCTGTGTGTCTTTCTCTCTCTCCCCTCTCTCCAGACTACCTCTGACGCATCGAGCTCATTCAGGACCTCGAGTTCAAAGTCGCCTCCACGCGAATCAAGTGGCACTCTAGAGCTGACACATAAGCTTCCTCATGTGTGTGTGTGTGCACGCACGTGTCTCTCTCCCCTCTCTCCAGACTACCTCCGACGCATCGAGCTCATTCAGGACCTCGAGTTCAAGGTCGCTTCCACTCGAATCAAGGCGTCCCGCGACGGAAAATACCTCTTCGCATCAGGTGCGTTCAACAGCTTGAATTGAACCGAGTTACAACTGAATCTCTTGAGCATTCTCTCTATCAGGTGTGCCTGCATTTGCAAACAATGCTTCCTTGCATGAGGTGCGCTTCAGACTTCAGTATGCCTCACTCTCTGCCCCACTCTCCCCTCCCCTCTCCCCAGGCGTGTACCCCCCTCAGGTGCGGGTGTATGAGCTAGCAGAGCTGTCGCTCAAGTTTGAGCGCAATCTGGTTTCAGGAATCGTGGACTTCCTTCCAGGTGCTGACAGAGGACTACAGCAAGATCAACACTTTTGAGACGTCTCAAGAGTACAGCAAGATCAACACTCCTCTCTCTCTCTTGCTCTGTCTCCTCCTTGCCTTTCCAATCCCCTCCGCCCCCCAAACTCAGGCGTGTACCCTCCTCATGTTCGGGTGTACGAGCTGGCAGAGCTCTCTCTCAAGTTTGAGCGCAATCTGGACTCGGAGATTGTGGATTTTCAGGTGTTTACAGATGACTACAGCAAGATCAACACTCCTCTCTCCCTTGCTCTGTCTCCTCCTTGCCTCCCAAACCCCCCAAACCCAGGCGTTTACCCCCCACAAGTGCGCGTGTACGAGCTGGCGGAACTCTCCCTCAAGTTTGAGCGCAATCTGGACTCGGAGATCGTGGACTTTCAAGTTCTCACAGATGATTACAGCAAGATTGCCTTTCTCTGTGCCAACCGCTCCGTGTGCTTCCATGCCAAGTTCGGGGCTTACTTCAAGACACGCATCCCCAGGTTAGTTTGTTCTTTTGTTTTGGGGTGGGGGAAGGGGAGGGGGGTGTTTCTGAGACATATTAATATCCATGCCAATTCGAAGCCTACTTCAAGACACGCATCCCCAGGTTAGTTGGCACTTGGTTCACACGCGTCTCTGACACTTAGTTGACACTTACGTCGCTCTTAGTTGACTCATGGTTGCAAGTTTTTCTCCCCATGCCGATTCAATTGCAGGATGGGTCGTGGATTGGCGTACGACCCGGCCTCGTGTGATCTGCTGCTGGCTGCCTCCTCGCCTGAGATTTACCGGATCAACCTGGAGCAGGTAGGTGGAAAGGAGTTGCATGGAGAGCAGGTGGGTGGCTGTAACAGGTGTGATTGTAATGTGGAGAAGTGACCTGCTGCTTCTTGCTGCCTCCTCGCCTGAGATTTTCCGGATCAACTTGGAGCAGATGGGTGCGATGCAGGTGGGTGGGTGGAGAGTGCATGTGACTGTACCAGTTGTGCTTGTAACGGGCCACTAGTGACCTCCTGCTGCAGGCTGCCTCCTCGCCTGAGATTTACCGGATCAACTTGGAGCAGGTGGGTTCAATGGAGGTGGGTGCAATGCAGGAGGTGACTGTAGCAGGTGTGCTTGTAATGCGAGCTGGTGACTTTCCTCTCATTACCTGAATCATCGCCTGAGATTTACCGGATCAACTTGGAGCAGGTGGGTTCAATGGAGGTGGGTGGAGAGCAGGTGGGTGGCTGTATGGAGTGCGTGTGGCTGTATGTACCAGGAATGGTGGCTTGACTGTATGGGTACAATGTTCTCTTTCTCGCCTTGCACCAACCCACCCAACCACACACCATTTCTCTTCCCTCACACCCCACTATTCTACCAATAACTTATCTCAGGTCAGTTTCAGCAGTCGCTGCAGTCGCGCTCGCCAGCAGTGAATGTGATCGGTCGCAGCCCCTCCCATGGGCTCATTCCCTGCGGGGGAGAGGACGGTGCCTTAGGGTGCTTCGGCAACCGCCAGGCCTCCGCTTTTCCCCGGTCCCATCCCTTCCAACCCCCTCCCTTCTTCCCTCCCTTCCCTCCCCACCCTCCCACACGCACTGTTTGTCTTCTCTCTTCGTCCCTCGCAGGGTCAGTTCCAGCAGTCCTTGCAGTCGCGCTCGCCAGCAGTGAATGTGATCGGTCGAAGCCCCTCCCACGGGCTCATTGCGTGTGGCGGGGAGGACGGCGCCTTGGAGTGTTTCGACAACCGCCAGGCCTCAGCCGTGTCTCGCATCGATGCCGTTAGGGCCACTGGGAATGCGGACCAGGTACAAAGGCCTAGGTTTTGGGTGCTCTTACAGTAGTACATACACTGGTAGCATTTATAATATTCAACTGTGGCGGGGAGGACGGTGCCTTAGAGTGCGTCGACAACCGCCAGGCATCAGCTGTCTCTCGCATTGACTCTGTGGGGGCTAATGCGGAGCAGGTGAGGGAGGAGGTGGTAACATGGTATCCAGGTTATGCCCCTCTTTCATTTCAGCAAGTCCTTTTCTCTGCTCACCTTAGAACGCTCCGTTCCCTTGCCCCCTCCTCTCACTCGCCTATGCCTCTCTTTCAGCAAGTGACAGCAGTATGCTGTGAGGACACTGAGGGAATGCTTCTGGCCTTCGTCTTTAGCTCCTGTCACTGTTACACCCTTCACTCGCCCTCCCCCTCCCTGCACCCCGCTCTGCCTCCTCTGGTCGTTCCCTGCCAGTTAGTGACAGCAGTGCGCTTTGATTTGAAGACACTGAAGGGATGCATCTGGCCGCCGTCCTTAGCTCTCCTCTCACCTCTGAGCCTTCTCATTCGCCCCCCCTTCTTCCCTCCCACCGTCCATGCCTCCTCCCTGCCAGCAAGTGACAGCAGTGCGCTTTGAAGACACAGAGGGCATGCATCTGGCGGTTGGCACGAGCACAGGCCAGGTAGTTAAGGGGGGTTTCATGGTGGGTGGATTGGAGTGGGGTGGGGTGGGGTGGGGTGGGGTGGGGTGGGGTGGGGTAGGACCACATGTGAGTCACGTCGCATGGTTACAGGGGTGAAGGAAAAACCTATCCCCCACTCCCTCCCCCAACTCCACCTCCCATTTCCCTCCCCTCCCGCCCCCCTCTCCCAGGTGTTGCTATACGACCTCCGCTCCTCCAAGCCCTATCGGATAAAGGATCACATGTGAGTTTGAGTCACAGGGGAAGGTACTTGTGGTGAAGGTACTTGTGTTGTGGTGAAGGTGGTTTTTGGGAAGGTGTTGCTATAAGACCTCCGCTCCTCCAAGCCCAGATAAAGGACCACAAGTGAGTTCCAGGGAAGTGCTTGTGGGGGAAAGTGCTTGTGGGGAGGTGTATGTGTGGAGGGGCTTCTGGGAGGTTCTTATTGAGGTGCTTGTGAAGGTTGTGCTTGCAATGAAAGGTGCTCCACGTCTTTTTACTAGATGTCCCTACTCCCCCTTTTCTCTTCCCTCCATTCTCTCCCTGCCTTATCCTAACAGGTACGGCAGCCCCATCCACAGCATCAAGTCGCACTGAGGCATAGCAGGGTCATCACAGCAGATCATCTCACTTAGTGCTCCTTCTCCCCCTTCCTCTTATCCCCTTCCTTTCCCTTCCGCTTATTCCCTTTTCTCCCTCCTCCCCCCACCAGGTACGGCAGTCCCATTCACAGCATCAAGTGGCTTCGAGGCATAGCAGGATCAACCTTGCACACCATTTCATTATAGTGCCCCTTGTCTCCTTTCCCTCTCCCCTTCCTTTACCCTGCCTCCTCCTCTCCAATCACAGGTACGGCAGTCCCATTCACAGCATTAAGTGGCTTCGAGGCATAGCTGGGTCATCCCAGCACACCAATCCACTTAGTGCCCCTTGGCCCCCTTCCCCCTCCCCTCGTCCCCCTCCTTATTCCCCATGCCTCTCCCCCCACCAGGTACGGCAGTCCCATTCACAGCATCAAGTGGCTTCGAGGCATAGCTGGGTCATCCCAGCACACTGTCACACCAGGTCCCGCTTTTCCTCAGTCACCCTCCTTCTTTTTCCCTCCCCCCTTCCCCCTTCATCTTAACAGGTACGGCAGTCCCATTCACAGCATCAAGTGGCATAGAGGCATAGCAGGGTCATCCCAGCACATCATCTCAACTGACAAGCGCATAATCAAGATCTGGAACCCTGCCACGGTATGTGTGTCATACCATGCCAAGCCATGCCATGGTATGTGTCCTTGCAATGGGTAAAAAATTATTCGGAACCCCACTGTCGCAGCACATCATATCAACGGATAAGCGCATCATCAAGATCTGGAACCCTGCCATGGTGTGTAATGCATGCATTGTGTGGGTCACTGTGGAACCCTACACACTAGTAAAGGATGTCGCAGCACAGCACATCATCTCAACAGACAAGCGCATCATCAAGATCTGGAACCCTGACACGGTATGTCATGCCATGTCGTGCCATGCCACGCCACACCACGCCATGCCATTGGATGCCATGCCATGCCGTGCCATGGACTGCTGTGTGGACGGTATGAATGCATGCCATTGATTACCATGTCATGCCATTGCCATGTCATGCCCGTGCCTTCACTTGTCTCCCGTACTTCTCCAGGGCACCAACGTGACGAGTGTGGAGCCTACAGAGCCGGGCGGCATCAACGACGTGTGTGTGATGCGCGGCAGCGGGCGGGCTTACTGTGAGAGTTTGTTTGTAGTGCCAATTCTGTTCTCCTTCCCTTTCTCTGTCTCACCCTGCAGGGCACCAACGTGACAAGTGTGGAGCCAACAGAGCCAGGAGGCATCAACGACGTGTGTGTGATGCGAGGCAGCGGGCTGACAGACAGCCGGGGCTGTTCGTGTGAAGGTTTATGAGTGACAAGCTGATTCTCCCTCCTCTCCTCCCCTTCCTCTTCAGGGCACCAACGTGACAAGTGTGGAGCCAACAGAGCCAGGAGGCATCAACGACGTGTGTGTGATGCGCGGCAGCGGGCTGATTGTAGCAGCCATGGACTCGCCTCGTCTGCAGGCCTACTTCATCCCCTCCCTTGGCCCCGCTCCCCGGTGGTGCTCGTTTCTCGAGAACATCACTGTGAGTCTGTGAGGCACTACACGTGGTGGTGGTGGGACGGGATGACTGGGGCAAGAGGTGGCTGATCGTGGCAGCCATGGACTCGCCCCGTCTGCAGGCATATCTCATTCCTTCCCAGGGCCCTGCTCCCCGGTGGTGCTCGGTTCTCAAGAAACAGATTCGCCTACAGATTCGCCTGGCAGTGCTCGGTGCCAGGCAGCCATGGACTCGCCCTGCCCGCCTGCAAGATTATTTCATCCCATCCCCTCGCTCGGCCCGGCTGCTCGGTGGTACTCTTTCCTTGAAAGTATCACAGTGATTGCTATAAAGATGAGCTTATAGAGGGGATAGTGGGTAGCCAGATACTGAGCTAATTAGCTGCTTCTCCCTTGGTCCGTTTCCCCCCTCCCCATCAAGTTTGTTACATTGGTCCGCCTTGCTGCGTCTCTTAACCCCCCCAATAACAGGAGGAGCTGGAGGAGGGTGGTGCAGCGATGTATGATGATTACAAGTTTGTCACACGGGACGAGCTTCATGCATTGGGGCTCACCGAGCTTCTGGGGACCAACCTTCTGCGCCCCTTCATGCACGGCTTCTTCCTGCACTCCCGGCTCTACCACAAGGTATGGTGCCTGTACCACAAGGGTCTATGGGTGTAGCAGGAGGTAGTGTTGTTGCAGCCATGCCATTGCGGACCAACCTGCTGCACCCCTTCATGCACGGATTCTTCCTGCACTCCCGGCTGTACCACAAGGTACTGTGTGGCTGTAGCACGCGGGTAGTAGCTCAAGGTAGTGCGGTTATCACAAGCTGCGCTGCATGCTCTAAGGCTGACAAAGCTGCTGGTTCTTGAGCATGCTCCGACCACCCTCACCTCTCTCCCCTTCATTTTCTCAACCCCTCCGTTCCTCCTTTCTCCCTCTCCACCCCTCACCCACACAGGCCAAGTCCATAGCAGACCCATTCGCATGGGACGCATACCGGCAGCAGAAGGTGAAGGAGGTTTCACTCCTCCCACCCATCTCACGTTGTCTCCCTCCCTTCCCTTTCTCTCTCCCACCTCCAGGCCAAGTCCATAGCGGACCCATTCGCATGGGACGCATACCGGCAGCAGAAGGTGAAGGAGAAGATCGAAGCCCAGAGAGCCAGCCGCATATCGGTCAGTTGCTTGAGTGGGACTTGAGTTGCCTGGAAGGAATGTGTGTCGGTTTGACGTCCCTGCTTGTGTGCATGTCTTTTGAGGCACCTCAGCAGCAGAAGATCGAAGCACAGCGAGCGAGCCGCATATCGGTCAGTTGGGTGTTGCCAGCAGCAGAGTGGGTTATGGTATCTCAGAACTCCCTTCTCTCCAGTTTGCCTCGCTGCTTCTTCAACGCCATCTCAATCCCGCAACTGCACAGAGAGCCAGCCACATATCGGTAGGTCACGTGTGTGTGGTGTGGTTGATACGATTGTAACAAAGCAGAAAAAGCGCGCGTGTTTAAAGGAGGGGGGGGACCAGAGGGTACATATCTGGCAATTCAGGAGTCATTCCTTCTTCCTGTGCATGTTCTGCCCGTTCATCGCTCTCCTCTTGTTTTGGGTTGTCTCAAAAGTCAATGGATTTTCTCGACCCTGCCTCCTGTGCTCACTCAGGTGCAAAAGAAGCTCTCCCAAGGTGAATGTGAAGCTGGAGGCGCAGCTGAGGCAGCAGATTGTTTTTGTATCGTATCAGAACCCTCTTCGCTCCTGTGTCCTTTCTCCTTCTTTTCTGTCCCTTCCTCGCTCTCTCAACCCTCCAGGTGCAAAAGAAGCTCTCCCAAGGTGAATGTGAAGCTGGCTGCGCAGCTGAGGCAGCAGATTGTTTTTGTATCGTATCAGAACCCTCTTCGCTCCTGTGTCCTTTCTCCTTCTTTTCTGTCCCTTCCTCGCTCTCTCAACCCAGCAGGTGCAAAAGAAGCTTCCCAAGGTGAATGCGAAGCTGGCTGCGCAGCTCATGCAGCAGAGTGGGGCTGAGGGGGCACGGGATGAGGGAGGAGGTGCTTTCATAGCATTTGGAAACTCCCTCCGCCCTTACTTCTGCTGTTTTTTCACTTCCCTACACACATTTTGAGTCGACTCAAAAGCGTTCCCTACACGCATTTTGAGTCGACTCAAAAGCGTTCCCTACACACATTTTGAGTCTACTCAAAAGCGTTCCCTACACACATTTTTGTCCAGCAGGTGCAAAAGAAGCTTCCCAAGGTGAATGCGAAGCTGGCTGCGCAGCTGATGCAGCAGAGTGGGGCCGAGGGCGCGCGGGAGGAGGGAGGAGGAGGAGGAGGAGGAGGACGAGGAGGAGGAAGGGGCGGGTGGGAAGGCGCGGAAGCAGCGCAAGGCTGCTGCCAGTGCTCTGGCTGACCCTCGCTTCGCCTCCCTATTCACTGATCAGGTTAGTGAGGGCTGAGAGGGGGAGATGAGGGGGTGGAGGGGTGCATGACGAGGGGAGGCGGGCAAAAAGCTTCTGCCAGTGCTCTGGCTGACCCTCGCTTCGCCTCCCTATTCACTGATCAGGTTAGTGAGGGCTGAGAGGGGGAGATGAGGGGGTGGAGGGGTGCATGACGAGGGGAGGCGGGCAAAAAGCTGCTGCCAGTGCTCTGGCTGACCCTCGCTTCGCCTCCCTATTCACTGATCAGGTTAGTGAGGGCTGAGAGGGGGAGATGAGGGGGTGGAGGGGTGCATGACGAGGGGAGGCGGGCAAAAAGCTGCTGCCAGTGCTCTGGCTGACCCTCGCTTCGCCTCCCTATTCACTGATCAGGTTAGCGAGGGCTGAGAGGGGGAGATGAGGGGGTGGAGGGGTGCATGACGAGGGGAGGCGGGCAAAAAGCTGCTGCCAGTGCTCTGGCTGACCCTCGCTTCGCCTCCCTATTCACTGATCAGGTTAGTGAGTGCTGAGTTTTAAGTCGACTCAAAAGTCAGTAAAACCACCAACTTAATGAGGGCTGAGAGGGGGAGATGAGATGCTGGAAGAGTGCGTGGAGGGGGTATGAGGTTCTTTTGCCTTTTGCTTTTTTGCCTTTTCCCTCCTCGGCAGGCGTTCCAAGTGGACGAGGATTTTCCCGAGTACATGGCCCTGGATGGGGACGTTGTTAGGGCAGAGAGGGGCGGAGGAAAGGAGAGGCAGACCATAATACCCCATTTGATGGTCATTGTGTTCCTTTTGGTTTTCTATCTTTCCTCCTCTGCAGGCGTTCCAAGTGGATGAGGATTCTCCCGAGTACATGGCACTGCACGGGGGCATGCGGGGAGGAGCGGAGGAGAGGCGGCAGCAGCAGAAGCGGGATAAGGAGCTTCTAGAGGAGCATTTTGAAATGGTGGAGGGGGAAGAGGAGGAGGATGAGGAGGATGATGATGGTGAAGGGGGAGGAGAGGAGGACGAAGTAAAGGAGGAGGAGGAGGAGGAGGATGAGGAGGAGGAGGAGAGGGGTGGAAGCGGTAAGAGGAGGTTGGTGCGTGGGGGGAAGGAGGAGGGTGCATCACGGAAGAGAGGAGCCAAGGAGCCAAGGTATTTATTTTGAGCCTTCTTTTTTTCACAAACCAAGTCTCTTCTCCACTGCCTGATATCCCAACCACAACCTTTTTTGCTGTCCCTTTTCCCGCTCTTTTAACTCTCTTCCCTATTTCCCCCCTCCCCACAACCCCTCCCCCTATCCACACTCCCTCCCCCTATCTCTCAACTCCGTCACCCCCCCTCTTTCTACTCTTAGGCTGTACGAGGCAAGAGACGACACACATGCAGCAGCCTTCAGAAACCGCCAAAGCCTTGCCGCCCAGAGGAACCTGCCCCTGGAGGAGAGAATCGCGCAGCTCCCGCATTCGTCTGCTAGCGGTCAAGGCGCCACCCATGGTGTTGCTGTAAGGAGGGCGGGCGGCGCAGTGGAGTTCACTGTATCGATGCAGTCAAGGAGACGAGGGGGTGGGAGAGGGGAGGGAGGGGGAGGAGGACAAGGAGGGAGGGGTGATAGAGGGAGAGGAAGGAGAGGAGGGAGGGGAGGGGGAAGGGATGGGGGGAGTGAGGGGAGGGAGGGGAGGAGAGGAGTGCAGTCTCTGAGGCTACCATCTGAAAGGCCTGCTTGGAGGGGAGGGAGAGGAGGGAGGGGGGGGAGGGGAGGACGTGGGAGAGGGAGAGGCCGCGGTGGGAGGCATTGACCTGCGTCGGGAGGGAGTCATGCGAGTCACATAGGAAGAGCGGAAGGGGGTTGGGAATGTGGTGGGAGGGGAGGGATGAAGTAGAGTTACCGGGCTGGGACGGCAAAAATATGGGCGATGTAGGGATAGTTGGAAGGAGATGGGAGGGGAGGGGAGGGACATTATGGGATGGATGCCACAATATAGGTTGTTTCATACAGTATGTTGTCACAAGTCTACCACCATGCAAATCATTAGCAATACCAACCTAACTTTGGAAATTGAAACAAACATGCTTTTGTGGCCAAGCAGGATATTTTAATCATCTCAAGTCTCTACTGTACATATAAGTCGATATTGTATATATAGCAACACAACTCTATAACACGAACGACATTTCTCCACACCAGGGCTGATCCGGCAGCGAGTGCCTCTGGTACGTGTTTCGTGCATCCGCGATTTGCTAGTGACACGTGGTTTGGTGCCGCCGAAGCAGATTTCGCGCTGCGAAGACTGCTTCGTCAAAGGTCTGGTGATCGAAGTAACGCTACGCGGTCAGGTACGTCACTGCCAAACGCAGTCCAGACCAACCAGGTCTTCCCTCGCCCTCAGCAATACGCTGTGGTTGACCAGAAGACACTCAGGAGGTTCGGTTCGGCCCAGACCTGCTTTGATTCTGCCACGCAACATTGTGCATATTTTAGTCGGTGCGTTCAGGAACTGGTCAGGTGAGAAGGTTTATTCCCCTCTGGATTCGCGACGCGTGTCAAATTTGCTCTCCTATTTCATTACCTCCCCGAGGAAGCCTAGCTGAAGTGCATGTTTTAGGAGCAACTTCATTGTATCTCCGTACAAATCGGTGTTTCCCAGTCACAAATTACACCAGACCAGACCAGACCAGACCAGACCAGACCTAAATCTGCGGCGGAAGTCACGCTGCCACTTCTGCGCCAGCCAACCAAGCTGCCTTGACGCTAAGTTAGCTATTGTTTCTAAGCCCGTCAATTCATTACTCAATAGCCGTTAGAGCCTGCGCCCTCATTATCCGCCTGAATCCTTCCTCACCAGTGTTTGTTTAAAAAGTTCGCAGTCTAGGAGCACCTAATAGGTACTGGCGGAGCTTGAGTGTCTTTAGCCAATAAAACTAATTAGCATCACCTCGTTGTCTAGAGGCAATAGAGCTGCTATGGCAAGAGAACCCGTATTCAGGCGACGTGTATATTCACACGTAGCGAAATGTTACATCCTTTTGGTGGTAACCACTGCCGCCGTTTCGCCCTTTGTTGGCGTTCACGGTCAGAATCCGCCGCCGATTGAAAACAACACCGGTTTTCCGATCTGCCCGAATGGTAACCCGCCGGCGACACCCGCCGTCGCGCCGCTGCGATGCCCCGCGTATATCGGAATGACGTGCTGCGACAACTGCGAAGACGTGAACGACGCGCTCTCATTGGCCAGCGCGAATCTGTACGACATCGTTCAGGCGCTGGACCCGAGCGTGATGTCGCAGATCCCCGTGGCGATTCTGGGCGACATCCCGCGCGACACGATGGTGAGTGTAGGGTTGACTTGGTTGACTCGGTTAAAATGCGGTACACATGCACACATCTACGCGGTGCAGCGGCTGCGCAACGATCTCGTGTGTCCGCCACACCTCCTTTCCCTGAGTCACCATTCTCTGCTCCATCGCATAGCTCCTGCTCCCTCCCCAACACGCCTCCCCCTCCCACTCAGGTGTGCGACTCGATGGCCGTACAGCAACAGTAAGGACAGCTTCTTGACGATCTCGTGTGCGCCGCCACGCGCAACCCCTACTCGGGCAGCTGTACCCCCGCGAACCGCGCCAACCAGCCAATTCCCTAGTGCAATCCATCCCCTATTTTGTTCGAGGCGTCTCAACCCGCGGCATTTTCCATTCAACGCGACACCCTATGCCTTCTCTGCGCTTTTCATGGCTCCGCCCCACTCAGGTGTGCGACAGCATGGCGGTGCAGCAGCAGTGCAACCAGCTTCTTGACGACCTCGTGTGCGCTGCAACGTGCGACCCTTACGCCGGAAGCTACGTGACGGCGAACGACTTCGTGGGGTCGACGGAGGTGGCCGTATGCTTGCGAGAGGCGGAGGCCGTCTTTGAAGCGTGCAAGAGCATCCTGTGTGAGTGTGTGTGGCTGTCTGTGTGTGTGAGAATGGGGAGGGGAGAAGGGGGCCGGGGATCAGGTCCGGGTCTCAGTGCGTCTAGCCACGCGCGACCCTTACGCGGGCAGTCAACGAGTTCGTCGGGTCCAGCGAGGTGGCTGTGTGCTTGAGAGAGGCTGAAGCGGTGTACGAGGCTTGCAAGAGCATCCTGTGTGAGTGTGTGAGGCTGTCCTTGTGTGTGAGAAGGGGGAAGGGAGAGGGGGGCCGGGATCAGGTCTGGGTGTGAGTGTGTCTAGCCACGTGCGACACCTAAGCCAGCAGCTACATAAAAGCGAACACCATTACCATTACTCAATCGCCATTACCATTACAATTACCCAATCGTCATTACCATTACCATTACCCAATCGTCATTACGATTAACATTACCCAATCGCCATTACCATTACCATTACCCAATCGCCATTACCATTACCATTACATTACCCAATCGCCATTACCATTACCATTGCCCAATCGCCATTACCATTACCATTGCCCAATCGCCATTACCATTACCATTGCCCAATCGCCATTACCATTACCATTGCCCAATCGCCATTACCATTACCATTACCCAATCGTCATTACCATTACCATTACCCAATCGCCATTACCATTACAATTACCCAATCGTCATTACCATTACCATTACCCAATCGTCATTACGATTAACATTACCCAATCGCCATTACCATTACCATTACCCAATCGCCATTACCATTACCATTATATTACCCAATCGCCATTACCATTACCATTGCCCAATAGCCATTACCATTATCATTGCCCAATCGCCATTACCATTACCATTGCCCAATCGCCATTACCATTACCATTGCCCAATCGCCATTACCATTACCATTGCCCAATCGCCATTACCATTACCATTACCCAATCGCCATTACCATTACCATTGGCCAATCGCCATTACCATTACCATTACCATTACCCAATCGCCATTACCATTACCATTACCATTACCCAATCGCCATTACCATTACCGCTACCCAATCGCCATTACCATTGCCCAATCGCCATTACCATTACCATTACCCAATCGCCATTACCATTACCACTCCCCAATCGCCATTACCACTACCATTACCCAATCGCCATTACCATTACCATTACTCAATCGCCATTACCATTACCATTACCCAATCACCAATACCATTACCACTACCCAATCGCCATTACCATTACCACTACCCAATCGCCATTACCATTACCATTACCCAATCGCCATTACCATTACCATTACCCAATCGCCATTACCATTGCCCAATCGCCATTACCATTACCATTACCCAATCGCCATTACCATTACCATTACCCAATCGCCATTACAATTACCATTACCCAATCGTCATTACCATTACCATTACCCAATCGCCATTACCATTACCATTACCCAATCGCCATTACCATTACCATTACTCAATCACCAATACCATTACCACTACCCAATCGCCATTACCATTACCACTACCCAATCGCCATTACCATTACCATTACCCAATCGCCATTACCATTACCATTACCCAATCGCCATTACCATTACCATTGCCCAATCGCCATTACCATTGCCCAATCGCCATTACCATTACCATTACCCAATCGCCATCACCATTACCATTACCCAATCGTCATTACCATTACCATTACCCAATCGCCATTACCATTACCATTACCCAATCGCCATTACCATTACCATTACCCAATCGCCATTACCATTACCATTGCCCAATCGCCATTACCATTGCCCAATCGCCATTACCATTACCATTACCCAATCGCCATCACCATTACCATTACCCAATCGTCATTACCATTACCATTACCCAATCGCCATTACCATTACCATTACCCAATCGCCATTACCATTACCATTACCCAATCGCCATTACCATTACCATTACCCAATGCACCTGCACGACTCAAATAGTGTGGGGTGCCCACTCCCCTTGCCTGACTCTACCTCCCGCATACTCCCCTCCCCCTTCCCCTGTCATCTCCATCTCAAAACACGCGACGTTTAACCTCACGCCATACCTCCCCCACGCTATGCGCGCACCTTCAAGACTCGGGTCGTGGGGTTTGCCCTTTTGTTTCCCCCTGCCTACCTTTTCCTCCCATTTCCCTCTCCTCCAGTTATCTCCACATCAAAAGGCGCGACACTTGACCTCACGCCCTACTTCCCCGACTCGCGCACCTTCATGACTCAAATCGTGGGGGGAATCTTGCGGGTCGTCATGGGCAACGACAAGGTCCAAGTCGTGCTCTCCAGCGTAAGTCTCGATAGACATGTGTAATGATACGGTCCAAATCGGTATCGCGTGGTACTTCCCTGATTCGCGCACATTCATGACTCAAATCGTGGGGGGGATCCTGCGGGTCGTAATGGGCAACGACAAGGTCCAAGTCGTGCTCTCATCGTACGTTCTTCCATGTTTCTATTAATTATTATACAATTATTGATGATATTAGTCTACATACTAGTAACGGGCTGACAGCAACATGCTGCAACATCTTTTGTGCACTCCCTGAGTCCTATTTCACTGTTCCCCTGCCTGCCCCATTCCCCATTTGCTCCAATCCATTTCAGACCAACTGCATTGCAGGCAACACCAACGTCTACCCCGAGGCCACATCCTGCTGTGACACCTTCTCATCAGTCCCCGACACATGCACCGTCCCCAACGAACTCACCAGCCTGCTCAACCGCCCCAATCCCTGCCTTGCTTTCTCCTCTGCTCCTGCCCCCAGCCCGGTTGTTGACCCTGTCCCTTCCACTTCCCCTGCTCCCGCTCCTGCTGTGCCTGCTGCTCCTCCTAGCACTGATGCACCTCCGGCTTCCCCAAGGGTCACACCCATTCCCTCAGTGCCCAAATCACCATCGCTTCCCTCATCTCCCTCTCCTCCTGCATCACCGGATCTCTCACCTTACTTGGCCTCCCCAACTCCTCCCTCTCTTTCTCCACCTCCCCCTACCCCACCCAAAGCCGCTTCTCCTCCTGCTGCTGCAGCTTTTATCTCCGTTATAAACTGCCTCGTTTGCGGGGTGATGGCACTGCTCGCGCCTACACTCTTTCTCTGAACTAAGGACCTCGAAAGCACTTGCCACATGCCTGACTGAGCTCCAGGCGCAAATTTTTTTTCGCTTAGGAACATAGATACCATGTCACATTTGCCTACTGTACAATGATTTCTGGGGCTGATGATATTGTTGGCTGGACAATAAGTACAATCCTGTAAGATCTTTCCGTAGAATCTGTTCTTCGTTGTTCCCCTCTCATCTGGGAAAGCCTGCATTTTGAGCCAATGCAGTAGGCAAAAGGGGCATCACATGACCATCATAGGACAACTCCATCCAAACCCATCCCCATCCAGGTGTTACGGTACCGGTACTTTTGCAGCTTTCCATATTGATTTTTTTTTTTATCGAGACAGCTCAAATACCGGTAAAAGTGCTTTCTGTGCCTTTTTGCACAAACGAAAGGCCCATGCCGAAGTTAGGACAGGATTCAACAAGGGAGGAGACAGCTGCTGGGGTGGTGACTGGAGGGTTGCCAGGGCACTGCAGGATGGTAGCCAGCAGGGGTGAAGAGGCGAGGGGAAGGGAGTCAGGAGGAACGGTGGGAGAGGAAGTTAGGTGGAATCGGGGAAAGGGAACACAGCTGCTGGGGTGGGCTGCCGGGGTGGTGACTGGAGGACTGCCAGGGCACTGCAGAATGATAGTCGGCAGCAGGGGTGAAGAGGAGAGGGGGGGGGGGAGGGAGGTAGGCAGAATTAGAGGGTAAAGAAAGTGCTGGGGTGGTTACTGGAGGGTTGCCAGGGCACTGCAGAATGATAGTCAGCAGGGGTGAACAGGAGAGGGGAGGGGAGTCAGGAGGAATGGTGGGAGAGGGAGTTAGGTGGAATCGGGGAAAGGGAACACAGTTGCAGGGGTGGTGACCGGAGGGGTGGTGACTGGAGGGTTGCCAGGGCACTGCAGAATGATAGTCAGCAGGGGTGAAGAGGAGAGGGGAAGGGAGGGACAGGAGGGGGAGAGGAAGTTAGGTGGAATTGGGGAAGTTGGACACAGCTGCTGGGGTGGTGACCGGAGGACTGCCAGGGCACTGCAGAATGATAGTCAGCAGGGGTGAAGAGGAGAGGGGAAGGGAGTCAGGAGGAACGGTGGGAAAGGAAGTTAGGTGGAATCGGGGAAAGGTTACACAGTTGCCGGGGTGGTGACCTGGAGGGTTGCCAGGGCACTGCAGAATGATAGTCCGCAGGGGTGAAGAGGAGAGGGAGGGGGGAGTCAGGAGGAACGGTGGGAGAAGAAGTTAGATGGAGTCGGGGAAAGGGAACACAGTTCCAGGGGTCGTGACTGGAGGACTGCCAGGGCACTGCAGAATGATAGTCAGAAGGGGTGAACAGGAGAGGGAGGGGGGAGGGAGGTAGGCAGAATTCGAGGGTAAAGAAAGTGCTGGGGTGGTGACCGGAGGATTGCCAGGGCACTGCAGAATGATCGTCAGCAGGGGTGACCAGGAGAGGGAGGGGGGAGGGAGGTAGGCAAAATATTGGGGATGAAGAAAGTGCTGGTGTGGTGACCCGAGGACGGACCGTTGGGGGCACTGCGGAATAATAGTCAGCAGGGTTGAATGGGGGAGGGGAGGATACCTAATTTTCCCCTTACAAATGCCGGGTCGCACCTGAATATGTCTCGACTTGACATCGAATATCGACAGGTAGCAAGACGAATTGCAGGACGCCCTAATAATTACCTCCCAAACAGCAGCCTCCTCAAGCCTACCTCTTCCTTGCACAGACACAAGGTCCCGCCTGAACTCATACGGCCCCTTTTTCACAAACAGAGTTGGTAAAAGCCCACCTGAATATGCCTCGACTTGACGTCGAATATCGACAGGTAGCAAGGCTCGGGGGAGGTTCGGGAGCAGGAGGTTCGGTTGTTCTTGCACCAGTCACTGTGGTAGCGAGCAACGATGTTGAGAGAGTAGGGGCGAACGCCTGCCAGGCCTGCTGCTATGTAGCCGAATGTGGATGTGTCCGTTATGAGTAGCGTGTCACTGGGGCGAGGGAGGAGAGGCAGGAGAGGCATGAAAGCACAGAAGGGGAAGGGAGGAGTGGCATGCGTGCTGCCAAACAGTAACACGCTACTCCTCCCTCCCTCGGCTAAAGGACACCGAGTTTTTGAGTAAAGAAAAACACACACGCGTACAGAGGACATAATGCACACACGCGTGTGCTACATCACTGAGAGCAGCCACATCGTTAAGTATGCATAACGGCATGCATACACCGAGAGCATCCCGTAATCAGAGCACCATGCATACAGAGGACATAAATACATACCACATAGACAGAAGCCACATCTCCCTCAGCGCCCTCTCCGTTTGACTTTTGAGTCGACTCAAAAGCAAAGAGCAGAACACCATGCATACAGAGGACATAAATACATACCACATAGACAAAAGCCACATTTCCCTCAGCGCCCTCTCTGCTTGCTTTTTCTCCCTCAGCTGTTGTGCTCCCTCGTGACTCAGCCTGAGATAAGGGAGATGAGAGACACAGGGGAGAGGTAAGAGCAAAGTTGACAGTTGAATCGGAGTCAATTCACATTCTTCTCTGCGTGTTGCTCCTCATGCAGGGGGCAGCTCACGTGCTGACAGGAATAGCCTGACCCAGCGCAAACAAGCGCACACACAAGTGCACACAATGGCACACATGCGCACACACAGACTGGGAGTGGAAAGGAGTAACTCACATGCTCACAGCAAATCTTCAGCCCGGCGCAAACAAGCGCACACACAAGTGCCCACACAAGCGCACACACAAGTGCACACAATGGCACACACGCACACACACAGACTGGGAGTGGGGGGCAATAACTCACATGCTGACTGCAATCCCCTGTCCACCCTCCGGCCGCCCCTCTGTGCTCATCTCCCTCAGCATCTCCCCATACGCCGCCCGCAGCGATGCCACAAACACCCCCACGCTCCCTCTCCTCCTCCCCACTACACCAGCTGATTTCTCTGACTCCTCCCCTCCAGCACCACTGCTCTCTCTTCCTGACCCCTGCGTCTCCCCGCCTTCTGTTTTCTCGCTTCCCTTCTCGCTTTCCTTCTTGTCGTCCCCCTCTGCTTTAGCTTGCTCCTCTTTCTCTGTCTCGTTCTTCTGCCCCTGCCATCGCTCGTTCGCTGGCTGCAGCTCCTGAAGCAGATCTTGCTCTCCCACCACGTGGTTCAGCAGGGAGGCGTTGCTGGGAGGTGCCTGTATGCATGCAAGGGAGGAAAGAAGGGAAGGAGATAGGGAATGGGGAGAGGAAGCAACCCAGTATTGACTGACTGACTGACTGACTGACTGACTGACTGACTGACTGACTGACTGACTGACTGACTGACTGACTGACTGACTGACTGACTGACTGACTGACTGACTGACTGACTGACTGACTGACTGACTGACTGACTGACTGACTGACTGACTGACTGACTGACTGACTGACTGACTGACTGACTGACTGACTGACTGACTGACTGACTGACTGACTGACTGACTGACTGACTGACCGACCGACTAACTGACTGACCAACTGACTTCCTCGACTGACTGACCTGCTTCGTCAGCTTCTCCCAGTCCTCGTGTGCCATTATGGGACCCACCACTTTAGTCACATTCACCATGCAATCCACCACCCTCTGCAGCACGTCATCAGCCGGCACATACTTCTGGAACTCACGGATCTGAGGGGAGGAAGGGATAAGGAAGAATGGAGGAGCGGTGGGGAAGATTGGAATAGTATTCCACATACATCAGAGCAATCCACCACCCTCTGCAGCACGTACTTCTGAAACTCACGGATCTGAGGTGGGATGAGGGGAAAAGTAGAACGGAAGAACGGATCTAAGGTTTATGTAAAATGGGGGAGAAACGGGGTGCAAGGGTCTGGCTGGACGAAGCAGATGCTTCAGAAAAGACGGGATGAGGGGCGTGACGTGGTGGGTGGGCTTTCCAACATGCTGCTCCCAAAAGAGATGCATTCAAGAGATGTTGCACACAAAAGACTTGAATGCCCAGCCTGTGCAAGCCTACAACTGCATCCCGAGCCTGTGCTGGTTTGGTACAGACCTGGATGCCGACCCTGTGTTGGTATGGGGCGAGGTAGGCTCGGAAGGCGCGGGTGATTTCCTCCCAGAGGTAGTTGGCGGGGTGCAGCAGGTAGCGCCCCACGTGCATCAGCGGCAGGCGGTCGGGGAACAAAAGCTCCAAGTCAGCCTGGGGAAAGAGGAAGCACAGAGGGAAACACATGGAGCATGGGACAGGTCTCATGCAGCAGGTAGCGCCCCACGTGCATCAAAGGCAGGCGGTCGGGGAATAGGCGCTCCAGGTCGATCTGTTAGGCAGGGAAAGGAACGTGGAGAGGAGAGAGGGACAGGACAGCAGCGCCCCACGTGCATCAGTGGCAGGCGGTCGGGGAACAGCCGCTCCAACTCAGCCTGTTGAATGAGGAAGCACAGAGGGAAAGGCAAGTAGTGGGGAATGTATCTGACTAGAGCAGTGCAGCAGGTAGCGCCCCACGTGCATCAGCGGAAGGTGGACGGGGAACAGGCGCTCCAACTCAGCCTGTTGAAAGGGGGGCAGCAGAGATGGGGATTACAATAGGAGAAAGAGGATCGTATGGGTCATTCACGTGCATCAGCGGCGGGCGGTCGGGGAACAGCCGCTCCAACTCAGCCTGATAGAGGCGGGGAGAAAGGGGGCAGATGAGGTGAGCATAGGACAGCACTCATGCAGCAGGTAGCGCCCCACGTGCATCAGCGGCAGGCGGTCGGGGAACAGCCGCTCCAACTCAGCCTGAAAGGCCGGGGGGAGGGAGATGAAACAGCGGGCATGGGGTACAGAGATGAGAGCAGGACGACAGCCATGCAGCAGGTAGCGCGCTGCTTCTGGGGCGGCATCAGCAGCAGACGGTCGGGGAACAGGCGCGCTCCTACTCGGCCTAGTAGGCAGTGGAGAAGAAGGAAATATGAGAGAGCAGGGCATGACCCATGAAGCAGCAATCGCCCCATGTGCAGAAGGGTTAAATAATAAAAAAAAAAAACGTAAGTTACAGGCGCTCCAGCTGAGCCTATCAGACAGCAGGCATCAGGATGGCGCATGGCAGAGATCAGGGAGGGAGAAGAGTGCACCAAGACTGAAACTAAAGAGGAACGAAAAAGAGTCTGAGGTTTTGCAGTCACCTGTAACTGCGGTGCGTGGTAGAGAGCAGGGAGTAGGTACGCGTCGGTTAGCAGACCCAGGATTCGAACCGAGGAGAGGGAGCCATGAGGGTGCTCCTGGTGGTGCGGACAGAAGAACGCTAGGTCTGCCTCTGATGCACTAGGCACACACACATGCATATCCACATAGACATGCATCACACAACATGCGCACGCACACATGTACGGGCATGGGCATGCGCGTGTGCGCACACACACACAAGCACTCGAACACACTCCCATGCACACACACCCTCACGCACACAGACATGCACACACACGCTCACACACACTCACCCACATGCACACACACACACTGACAAACATTTACATGCGCTCGCATGCACACACACATTCACACACACTCACACACTCAAATTCAACCATACAGGCACCACATGCATGTCTCACATATGCAGGCACAGGAGTGCACCAACACACATCCACCATGGGAGGAACAACGGGGTGTGAGGGACGAGAAGGCAGGAAAGGAGTGTGGGGCAGGAAGTGTGCAGGGCAGACTTTTGAGTCGACTCAAAAGTCACCTCGGCAGGAAGTGTGCAGGGCAGAAGGAGTGTGGGGGGGAGGAGTGTGGGGGGGAGGAGTGTGGGGGGGAGGAGTGTGGGGGGGAGGAGTGTGGGGGGGAGGAGTGTGGGGGGGAGGAGTGTGGGGCAGGAGAACGTGAACTCTCACTTGGATGGGGTGAGTGAGACAAGGAAGTCGGGACTGGGCAATGGGGAGGGGCGAGAAGAACAGCAGGAGGGCAGCAGAAGCCTACGTGAATTTGAGCTCAACATAAACCATGTTGACCCTGCTGCCAACACTGCTGCTGCTGCTGCTGTTCACCGGAGAGACAGCATCAGCAGCTGCAGCTGCAGCAGCATCACCAGCAGCATCAGGTGCGGCAACAGAGGGGGACCCTGGCGCTGCACTGCTTTCTGCCGCCCCAGTGGTGTTAACGTTTGTGTTGTTCATGGTGCTGCTGTTGCCACTCAGGGCTTCCATGGCTGCAGCATATGCTGGCGTGCCGAACCTAGGAGATTGCTTCGTGATTACATTGCGCTGGGCTCTGTGGAAGGGAGAAGGAGAAGAGGAGGGGAGAGGAGGGGAGAGGAGGGGAGAGGAGGGGAGAGGAGGGAGGACGAGAAGGAAAAGGTTAGGAGAGTAACGGGGTAGTAGAAGAGAGGACAATGGGGAAAGCAAAGGAGGAAAAAGCGAAAGTTGAAGCAGACACTATACAGAGAGAAGTGAAAGGATGAAAGGGCAACTTCTGAGACGTCTCAAAGACTCAAAAGTTTTGAGACGTTTCAAAAGCTAAAGCGGACCCTATACAGAGAGAAGAGAAGGATGAGAGAGTAGAGGAGGGGTAGAAACAGACGGTCGAGATGAGAACGGAGGGGTAGGAAGAAAGGGCACAGAAGCGGCTTGACACAAGAGAGTCAGCACTCTGCTCTTTGCACTCAACACTCACGCAAAGGTGGGCGAGTCCATGATGGCCATCCAGGTAGACGGGGTGGGGTGAACGCTAAGGGATCGCAGAGGAGGTGGTTTGATACAAAAAGGGCCAGTTGTCAGCACTCACGCACTCGGCACTTGGCACTCAAGCACTCAGCACTCAGCACTCAGCAATCACGCACTCACGCACTCAGCACCCACGCACTCAGCACTCACGCACCCACGCACTCAGCCCTCACGCACTCACGCACTCAGCACTCGCACACTCGGCACTCACGCACTCACGCACTCGGCACTCACGCGAAGGTGGGCGAGTCTGTGATGGGCATCCAGGTAGACGGGGTAGGGGTGAAGGCGAATGGGTCGCAGAGGAAAAGGGCTGCCTGTGCGTGTGGGTTGATGATGAGCGTGCGGTTGGTGAGGAGGGCGTAGATGAAGGAGGAGACGAGGGAAAGCAGCTGATTGCCCAGGCCTGGAGGACATGGGGCGGGTGGGGGTGGGAACGGGGTTGTGGATTGATGAGGAGAGTGCGGTTGGTGAGGAGGGCGAAGATGAAGGGGGAGACGAGCGACAGCAGCTGGTTGCCAAGTCCTGCACAGCAAGGAGTGGGGAGGGGGAATGGGTGGAAGCAAGGCAGCAGTGGGTTGATGATGAGCGTTCGGTTGGTGAGGAGGGCGTAGATGAAGGAGGAGACGAGCGACAGCAGCTGATTGCCAAGTCCTGCATGGGGAGGGGAGGTGGGAGGAGGCAAGACAGCAGTGGGTGGATAATGAGTGTGCAGTTGGAGAGCGGCGCGTAGGTGAGGCCAGAGACGAGGGAGAGCAGCTGGTTGCCCAGACCTGCGTGGGGAAGAGGTGGGGAATAAGAAGTCGTCGGTGCGGAACAGGGCGGCTGGCGAGGAGATGGAAGGTGAAGGAGGAGAAGATTGAGCATGGTAATTGCGCTGACACATACCATAGCAATGGCACCCCCATTTTGCCTCAGATAAGGACTCCTTTTGAGGCGCCTCAGAAGTTGAGCATGGTGATTGTGCTGATGATACATACGCTGATTGCACTGGCAACCGTACCCCTCAGATAACGACTCACCACTGTAGGCGGGGTCGAGATGGTGGAGCTAAGAGCATTCCTGCATGGAGGATGCATCCACTCCGTCTCGATTCAGTTTGCAAATTTCCAAAAGTGACTTTGATACATTTGGGTTGAAACAAGGCTCACCACTGTAGGCGGGGTCGAGATGATAGAGGTAAGTGCATTCTTGGACCGAGGATGCATGCATCTTCTTCGACTTTGCTTTAGCCACGGCCCTCAAAAGAAGAGGGTTCAAGTCCGGGTAGAGTCAAGGCTCACCGCTGTATGCGGGGTCGAGATGGTAGAGGTAAGAGCATTCCTGGACCGAGGATGCATCCACTCCGTCTTTGAGTCCCTTCGTGCTGCACGATGGGAGTTCAGAGGGAGCATTGAACAGAGCGGGTTCAGAAGAGGTGGTTTGTGGCTATGTGTGACGAGGATGCGCTGAGAGTGCACACACACCACCACCATGAGTGTGCAGAGTGTGGTGATTTTTGAGTCGACTTGAAAATCGACTCACCACCATGAGTGTGGTGAGCGCGTGCAAGTATGAGCCGAGCACATTAAGAGTGCGCAAATTCATGATTCACTTTACACAAGCATGGGTATGCGAGCCAGCCACGTGGCACTTACGGATTGGAGAGGAAAGCGGGCCAGTCCTTCACGCCATTGATGCACCGTGCCTGCCTCTCTGCATACGCCTTGAGCCGTTCTGCTAACTCTTCAGTCATTGGTGTGCTGGCAGATGACGCCTGGAAGCACAGGTGTTGCAACGAGCTAAGAATGGACAGTGAAACAATATGGCTGCCTGATTCTTTGCATACGCCTTCACCTGCTCTGCAAGCTCCTCGGTCATTGGCATGCTTGCGGATAATGCATGCAAGAGAGGGCTGCAACAAGGATAAATTATTCTAGTCGATTTAATGCCTGCCTCAGAACATATTAGCGAGTCCCGGATATTGAATAGCAAAGACTCACAAATTCGAAGTAGCACCTTCTAAGTGGATTGTTAGTGACGCTGATTAACTTTTCAATGACCTTCAAGTATACTCACGAGTCACCTTGCATAAATAAGACTCACCGGTAGGTAGTAATGCCTTTCATGCACACTCCAGCACGAGTTGAACAGCCGGTGGTGCCGTGACCTCATGGCACCATCAGGCTCATACAGCAACCGCCGAGAACGGCTCTCTGCATGCCTCTCTGCATGCCTCTCTGCATGCCTCTCTGCATGGCTTCCTGCAACGCTCAATGCATGGCTTCCTGCATGGCTTCCTGTAAGGCTCAATGCATGGCCTCCTGCGTCCATTGTCATTACATGCTGCATTCCGTCTCTCCTCCTTACTCGTTTCCGCCCCTCCATCTGCCCTCCTCCGGCACCTTGCTTCCCTCTACTCCGATTTTCCGCCTCTCCTCTTTCTCCTCCTCCCCCCCCTCCTCTTATCTGTAAACTCTTGTCCTCTGAAAAGCCTAGCTGCACATTTTCTCTCCAACGTAACCTTCTCTCTCCCCATCCCTCCTTCCACACAACCTCCTCGTGGCCTGCCTCTTTCTCTAAACTGCGCGCTAATAGGCCATCCCCTGTAGTAGCCTGCTCTATTCCAATCTTTGGGACATGTTCTAGCTCTGGTACTTCCTGAATTCCTCCTGTCCCGATTCGTCCACTTCCCCTGGCACGATCTTCCGCTTCTCTGTATGAAGGCGCGAGGCTGTCAATAATCTCCCTGTAGGAGTTACCGTCACCAGCAACAAGGGTCGGATTCACCTGCAACGGACAGGCGACGGATTTGGCAGGCAGCAGAGGCGAAAGAAGAGGGTTTTGGAACAGGGAGGCTTGACGGCCAGACTGGGAGGCTCGGCGGCCAGTCCGAAAGGCTCGGCGGCCGGTCCGGGAGCAAGGGTCAACGGTTGGAGAATGCTGGAAAGTAAGAAACAAACATCATGGCTCTAGTATCAATATACTGGGGCAAGAACAAAGCTGGAGCTTCTTACGACATCTCGCAGTCGTTAGTTTTCGTCCGTACTCTTTAAGACGTCTAGCGGTTATGAGTTATGACTGCTATGTGGACTAATATGACTCGTATACATATCTGAGGCGTCTAAATTTGTCTGTTAGACTAAAGCAGTTGAATCACGCCGCGCTCTAGTCACCGTCACACCGTCACACGGCAGTCACCTTAGGAATTGTCACCACGACAACAAACTGATTCCGACGCTGTAGCAAGGCAACAGTCGGGATTATGACAAGCGATCAAGACTACGATATACAGACAACGGCAGCGATCACGAGTCACGGCGTACCGGGAAGAGGTGGCCTGTGCACAGCAACGCGGCGACGAGGGCGAATCGCGACAATCTCATGGTTGCCGTGCAATACACTAGGATTTCGAACTGAGGGTATAGTAGCTACCCTGAACAAATTCAAGTCCAGTAACTAAGACTCAGCCCATGCGCGCAGGCGATACGGCCATGTAACATCAACAATGCGAGAACGCTAATAGCGGGTGATAGCAAGAATTATCATGTCAGGCTTCCATAACTAAACCAAGTCGCAAACATGTCCCAGGCCGAGAGATAGAATTGACTGACTAGATGAGGAATGTGTTGGAGAAGCGAGTTTCTGCCGCCCCAGCCCTTTGCACACAAGCAGCAGCAAGGGGGAATGTCGACGATGGATCAGAGGCTTCGCGAAATGCTTCGGAAGTTCCACCACCAATCAGATTTCAGCCGAAGACTCGATACAGTTCAGAGCTGTCTTCAAACCGAAATGTTGGCAGTTTCTACAGGTTTCTACACATCAGAATCAGCTATAACAGAAAAATCCAGAGACTTCTCATTCATGCACCTCATGTGGCTCTCAAAGTCACTAAAGGTCCATGCAGCTGAATTGTGCCCAAGTTCCCAAGGAAGTTGCCTTGTCTAGCAGCCTGGTTTGAGCTATCAATCTTCATGTTTGTAATGCATATAGAGTTGTGCTTTAGTGGGCTTGTACAACCTTGATCATAGTGAAGTTTTACCTCATCCAGTCAGTCCAGCAGCCCTGCTAAGACTTTCCAGCCAAGTTTCCAACCTTTCCAGCAGTCACAGCTACTCTGTTTTACAAGTTGGTATCAGAGCTCGTCGTCCTAGCCCACCACGTTCCTATCCTAGCACTATACGAGCATGGCAGGAGACAATGCGTCCGGCCCTGCACTTCAGTCAGCCGGAGGAGCTTCAGAGTCAACATCAGCAGCCACTGGCTTAGTGGAAGCAGTTGCACCAGGCAGTTCTTCAACAACATACTCACCACTCACCTCCTTCATGCCTAAGCTTCACCTTCCCAAGTTCAACGGCAAAGATTTTCCAACATGGGCAACTCAGTTTGAGCTCACTGCATCCCTTCTGGATTTGTGGCCTTACTATACTGGAGAAGCAGCCAAACCAGCAACAAATGCTTCAGAAGCTGAAAAACGTCTCTACGAGCGGCGCAACAAGGAAGCCTTCCTCTACCTACTCAATAGCATTCACGAGCAGCAGTTGAAGTCACTCCTACCCTGTTCTACCAAGGCAAACAGTGCGGAGGAAGCATGGAGCCGACTGAAGTCTATGCACCAGTCAAAATCCGAGAGCAGCCAAGCTGAGATGTGGAGCCGCTTCATGAATTTGAAGATGGAAGAAGATGAATCAGCACAAGCATACCTTCAACGAGCTGAAACGATGCTGGAGGAAGCAGCAGCGATCGGCTTGGAGATCCCAGAGTCTCTTTTCAAGACCGTCATCCTCACTGGCCTTACACCGGAGTGGGACACTTTCCGTGCAACACTACAAGCGCTCCCGCAGTCAATGAAGACTCGTGCATTCATCTTCGAAGCCCTTGTCAACGAGCAGCAGAGTCGAGACCTTGCACGGAACAAGCGGAGTGACGAAGGTGCGTGGAGTGCTGCAGCGGCAACACGATATGGCAACCAATTCCAGAGGCAAGGAAACTTCAGCTCAAACCGCCCTCAACCTTACTACGGTACGAAATTTCAGTCACCTTCCAATCCCTACAACCCCTCTCGTATTCCTCAGTCAAGTCATCCCCTTAAGCCAAGTCCTAATCTTCAGCCAAGGTCTTCCATTCCCAATCAATTTCAGTCTAGGAATGTGAGAGCAAATCCTTTAAGAGTCAATAATTTCAGTCAAGGGTCAAATGCTAAAAAGTTTAATTTTGAGTGCTTTTGTTGTCATGAGTGGGGTCATCCGTGGTATGCTTGTCCTAAGAAGCCTCCTAATTGGGTCCCTCCACCTCAGCTACTTTCTGAAAAGGGTAAAGCAGTCATAGCAAATATAGCAAGCCATGCTACGAGTCAAAATGAGTCCAAAGATTCTGACGGTCCTGTCCTTTTCAACGCTGCTACTTGCATGCATGTTTTTTCTACTAGTAGTGAGGAGTTTATTCTTGATAGTGGCTGTTCTGAGACCATGACTCCCTATCATTCCATTCTCAAGGATTTTCAGCCCTCATATGACTCAAAAGCGGTGACTCTTGCCGATCTTGGCAAAGTCCCTATCAAAGGAGTCGGCAAGCTTGAGTTTGAGAAAGATGGTAAGTCATTTTGTGTCAATAAAGCTTTGTTTGTCCCTGATTTGGGAGCAAACTTGCTCTCAGCTGGACAACTTGAAGAGAAAGGTGCCTCTGTTCTTTTGCAAGGGGGGAAAGCCAAAGTGTGGGATAGTGCAGGAAATTTGGTGGCTGAAGGCGAGCGTACCGTGTCAGAAATAACTGAGCACGAATGAATGAACTAGCACATAGTTTGGTACAAGTAGGAAACCCTAACTTTCAGTACCCCCTAAGGTGTAACCCACTACAGCCTACATAATATAAGCATGCAATGTTTGACACACCCCCATAGGCGCAGTGGGAGACAACCACAGGGTCACAAGACCAGTCAAAGCAAAGCAAAGCAAGCTCAGGGTGGATCTCAAGGATTCCACACAAATTCCGAGCACAAGCAAGCGGTCACAAGACCAGTTCACATGCAGGTTTATAACAAAGCAAGAGATACAGTGATCACAACCTAGCAAAAGTAAACAAGTAGGCATATATATATAGTGATCACAGTACAAGCAAGGTCAAGAGGTAAGCAAGTGAGGCCCAGTAGGTACAAGGCCTAGCAGAGTGCAAAAGCGCTGATGGTCACAAGGCTGAAGTGCCTTGGTGAACACATCAGCAGTGTTGGCCTCCGTGGCCACGTAACGCAGACAAAGCTGACCACGCTGCTGCAGCTCTCGAGCAAGGAAGTACCGCAGAGCGATGTGCTTCGTTCTGTGCTCCAGTCTGTGCTCCTCACACAAGGCAATGGCAGCTTTGTTGTCGACGTACAGCACTGGAGGAGAACGAGGCCGCTCTCCGAGGTCGGTCAGCAGGTAGGTCAGCCAGCGTAGCTCCTGAGCAGCCATGGCTGTGGCGTAGATCTCAGCCTCACAACTGGAGCTGAGAACAGAAGAAGAGCGAGTAGAACGCCAAGAAACTGAGCCAGAGCCAAGGCTGAAGGTGTAACCCTGGGACGACCGCTGAGTAGCCTGGTCGTCTGCCCAAGAAGCGTCTGAGTGCCCTGTGAGAACAACCCGGTCTCGCCCTCCAAGCACAAGCCCCATGCCCGACGTACTGCACAAGTAGCGCAACACCCTCTTAGCAGCATCCATGTGCTCCTTCCGGTGACGGCCAGGAGCGACATAGCGTGCTAGGATGCTAAGAGGGTATGCAAGGTCAGGTCGAGTGCAGGTCATCAGGTACATGAGGCAGCCCACAAGCTCTGGATACGGGCCACTCGGCTCTACGGACTCATCCGAAGGCAGAGCTGAGAGCGAGTGACCGGTAGGCAGAGGAGTGGACTGAGGCGAGGAGTACGTGAAGCGGAAGCGCTGGAGAACCTGCTGCACCATGTGTGACTGAGTCAGGGTGATGGTGCACCGTGCTCTGTCCCGGGTGATCCGCAAGCCAAGATAGCTCGTCAGCTCACCCAGGTCTGTGCACGTGTGTCTCCTCTGCAGCTCCGACTTCACGTGAGCGAGTGCCGCGGTGTCAGCAGTGGCAAAGACCAAGTCGTCGACGTACACGAGGATGTAGAACGGCGGCAGCGAGGTGTCGGTGCGTAGAAACAGCGACGGGTCAGCAGTAGAGGGAGCGAACCCAAGAGCCGCAAGTGTCGTCCTCAGTGTGTCGTGCCACTCACGTGGCGCCTGGCGGAGACCGTAGACCGGCCGCTGAAGCCTCCACTGGGTGCCAGGAGGAACTGACCCAGTGAAGCCAGGGGGGCGACGCAGCCAGATCTCCTCGTGCAGGCT